TGCAGCCCGTGTGGCTCAGGGGTTGAGCATGAACCTATGAACCAGGAGATTACACGGTTCGATTTCCAGTCAGGGCATATGCCCTGGTTGTGAGCTTGATCCCTAGTGTGGGGCATGTGGGAGGTGGCAGCCAATCAATGTTTCTCTCTCATCATTGATGTTTTTCTCTCTCCCTCTCCCTTCCTCTCGGAAATAGGTAGGTAGGTAGGTAGGTAGGTAGGTAGGTAGATAGATAGATAGATAGATAGATAGATAGATAGATAGATAGGAAAATATCCTTAGGTGAGGATAACTAAAAAATATACATATATATATTTTTAAAACTCAGCATGTCCCAAACTGAACTCATCTGATTTCTTCTGGCAGAGTAGCTATGCCTTCCCCTTCATTGTCTGTCTTATTAATTAGTATCCCTTTCCCAATTACTCCAGGCAGAAAACTAGGAATGTATAGACTCCTCTTTCTACATTTTATCTTGAAAGCCCACCAATTTTACCCTCCTTATCATCCTCTTTCCTGTCCTTTTATCTTCTGCTTCTGCTCAGTGCAAGTCCCTGCCATCTTTTGTTAGCCCTGTTGCAATAGTTTCTTAATTATCCTTACTTCCAGTCTCATTCCCCTGCCATCCATCTTCTGTGTGGCTATCAGCAGATCCTTCGACATCTCAAATCTGATCATGTTACTCTCTTGCTTAAGGCTTTGTTGGTTTCCCATTATCTTCTAAGTAAAGAACAAAGTCAAGGCCCATCTTCCACTTCCATCTGAGCCCTCCTGACACCATGACTTTATTTCCTGCCACTTTTCATCATACCTCTAGGTTTCACTATAACAAACTGCCTTTCCTATGAATACGCAATGTTAGTTCTATGCCTCAGAGCCGTTGCAGATGTTTCCTGACTGTCCTTTCTCCTTCCTCTTCAGCTAACTGCTGAGCTGATGTTTTGAGAACTATTGAAGTGGCTTCCTCTGTGAAGTTTTTCTCTGATTACCCTCTTTGTTACTTTCTTCTACTTTTCTATGGCTTCAGTTGCCTTTATTGATAATTACTGGGAGCTCCTTAAGAATGGGCCTATTTTCCATTTATCTTTATGGGCACCCGGGCCTGCCATTGTTAAATAAGTGAGAGACGACTGCAGGATAGTGGAGTAAGGAAAGAAAGGAGTCGGAATGCCCCCTTGGTTAGACCCCTCCTCACCCTGTGGGGAAAACACCTTTTCCACAGCTACCTTCCCACATAAGCCAGCCCCCAACCTATGTGGTGCCTGTGGTGCCAGGGCTACGGTGTGGGTAAGTCACTCCCAGGGCACACTGTCCGGGATTGTGTGGGCCAGCACACATGGAGTGCTCAGTGTGTACTATACTGAGTGCTATTCTAAGTGGTTGCATATATTAATTCGTGTTAGCTTCACAAGAACCTTTGGCAATGGCATTGGAATTAGGACCATTTTATTTGTTTATTTATTTATTTATTTATTTATAATATGTTTTATTGATTTTTTAGAGAGAGGAAGAGAGAGGGATAGAGAGTTAGAAACATCAATGAGAGAGAAACATCGATCAGCTGCCTCCTGCACACTTCCTACTGGGGATGTGCCCTTGACCGGAATCGAACCTGGGATCCTTGAGTCCGCAGGCCGACGCTCTATCCACTGAGCCAAAACGGCTAGAGCAGGACCATTTTAAAGATGAGGAAATTGACACCAAGGTCACATAGCTAATACATGGAGGAGCTGGGACTTATAAAAAAAAATGGGTTAAGTTGATATTTGTTGAAGCTAAGGATAGTTAACTGGAATCTCACTATTCAGTATTGTTTTCTCTACTTTTGTGTAAGTTTAATAAATTTCTATAATAAAACATTTTTTTAAAACTAGATTAGATTAAATCAGTGGGTTTTAACCTTTTTTTTTTTTTTTTAAAGGAACAGAACCCTTTCTGCAACCAAAATCCTGTGGAAAGGCCGATATGTAAATGAAATAAAAGTAGATCTACTCTGGTTTAAGAGAAGCCAGACCACCTCCTATTGGTCCCTTCTTGCACTCAGCCCTTCCCAGGGCACAGGGTTAGGGAACATAATTTAATGAAAATTACTGGACTAAGTCTAAGAATTCTTCTGGCACTTTTGCCTTCCTGTAGTTATATTGGCTCTGCACTGGCCATTAGCCTATATATATCCTGTTCCAGAAACAGTAAGACAGGGCTATTAATCATTTCTATAGTCGGTGGAGAATTTGAAAGGTTGCAGAAACATGGGTTGCTATTAGGGATGAATTTCAATGTCTGTCTCTGCTGAGTGTTTATTAATAATCTTGCTAATCCCCACTCTGGTTCCCGGATCTAACTCCTGTCAGATGTCCTTGGGGACATTTTAAATTCTCCCTGACTTCTTGGAGCCAGATGCTTCCTTCTGCCTGGGTTCCTCTCTGATACTTATATTCATGAATATTTCACATTTAATCTCCCTGATTATATTTCCATGTGATGATCATAGTGCATTGGCCACATCTCTCAGGAAAGACATACAGGAAGCCCACAGAAAGGCTTGAGTTTGCAGGCACGGTGCCCAAGATCTTTGTTTTTGCCACTCAGATGGCCTTCCATCATGGACAGTGACAGGGAGATGCTGCCTGGTGTGTTTTTCATGTGACCTCTTGGTCTGGGGCTTTGCACCCTGGCTCATGATCTAAAGGGACTGGCATTTTCACTCAGGGATCAAATGGCACCAGGACCCACCCAGTGTCCTCAAGGACCACATGTGGGTCCCTGAGACCAAAGTTGCTCAATAGCTTCCCAGCCCCCAGTCCGGCCTCATTCCTTCCTGCAATGTTATCATTGCTGCCAAGTACCTCCAGCCTGAGAGAAGAAACTGATGAACTCATCTGTACTGGGGAGGAAAACATTAGCCCCAGATGCACAAAGGTTTGTGTTTTAAAAGTCAGCCCAGGGAAACGAGAGTGAGGCTTAACACTCTCCTGGGATGGATGGGGTGCAGGGTTATGGAGAGGGTGCATGGTTGGAGGGCTATAGGTTTAGAAGTCACCAGTGTAAACATGTTAATCCAAACTGCAGGCGATATCAGGGTTCCCCAGAGAGAGCAGAGGACTGAGGGCAGGACCCTGCAGAGGAAGCAAAGGACAGTGGATGAGAGAGAAATGAGTGCCCTGAAAGCCAGTGAAGGAAACTACTTCCAAATGGATGTGGTATGTGTGACATGTGACAAACGCTACAGAAAAAGGAATGTGACTAGGAAAGTGTAAATGTGCCAATGCTCCCCTGGTCGGGTCCCACAGGTACCTTTGAGAAGCCTCCTCAGGTTGCTTTGGGAGTGAGCCCTTCCTGTCAGGGAAAAGGGAAAGCCTGAAGGGAAAGCCAGAGCCCAAACTGTCAGGTCTCCATGTTTCCTACCCGTAGCCCCTGCCAGGCTGTTTTGCTGCAGAGAGGCATGTAAGGGCCATGAGAGGCCTGCTCCTCCAAGGCTTCAGGGAACGGGTGCTGTCGGGAAAAAGTCTCCCAAGGAGGAGCTGAGCCAGGGAGGCAGAGGATGAAGGATCGGGAAGGTTTGTGGCAATGGGAAGTTGGTTGAGATGCAGACACTACAGCACACAACCTTTCCAGCACAGAGCCTCCTGCCGGGTCCACCTCAACCACAGCTAAGGGTTGGCAGTCAGAGCAGAGGACAGAAGCCCAGGTTCTGCCCTCAGGAACTTGCTAACACAGCCCACCCAGGGCTTTGTGCTTTAGGTGTCTTGAATGAATACAAATAAGGTCAGGATTTCCTTCCCAAATATTCTAGACTTTTCCCTTTCCCCTTGGTGACAAGCATGTTTTCTTTTCCACTACCTCATTCTAAAGGGAACAGAAGCTACCATAATAAGTATACTAGGTATACTGGTTAATAATGAAGATTTTCTCAAAGATGGAGTTACACATATGTTGATATATGCGATTTGATATATATGCTATTTGGTTGTATTGACAACAAGCTTCAAAACTTTATATGTCAAATTTTCTGAAGGTGTAAACATCATAGATATTTTTACACTTAAAAATGTCGAATTTTGTGCCAAAAAAAAGAGCATTTGTGGGAAGTTTTAATTCATTACTTTATTTTGAAGAAAAATGCTGCTACAAGTTATCATATATTGTACTTCGGGAAGCTTATGGTGAACATGCCCCATGCTCCATCTCAAGATACTTGTGAACGTTAGTTTAAAATCTTTAAAAGTAATGATTTCAATGTGAAAGACAAAAAACATCCAGGTCAGCTGAAAAAGTTTGAAGACCAACAATTACAAGCAGTATCAGATGAAGATGAGTGTCAAACTCAAAAACAACTTACAAGAAGATTAAACATTGCTCAGCAAACTATTTCCAATCATTTACAAGCAGTGGGAAAGATTTTAAAGGAAGGAAAATGGGTGCCACATCAACTGAACAAAAGACAAATGGAAAACCGAAAGTCATCAGTAAAATGTTGCTTCAACAGCACGAAAGAAAGTCTTTTTTGCATCGAATTGTGACTTGCGATGAAAAGTGGATTTATTTTGAGAATCCTGTATGCACAAAATCATGGGTTGATCCAGGTTAACCATCAACAACAACTGCAAGGCCAAATTGCTTTGAGAAGAAGACAATGCTCTGTGTTTGGTGGGATCAGGAAGGTGTGGTGTATTATGAGCTTCTAAAACCAGGTGAAACCATTAATACTGATCTCTATTAACAACAAATAATCAATTTGAACTCTATTGAAAAAAATTCGCATTATTAACCGGTACACTAGTATATCCTTCCTTTGCTGAGTCACCAGTAGCCACTCAGATCTCTGGGCCTGACACTGTGGGGCCATCCTGCAGCATTCTACCTGCCTCTGACTGCTCTCTGCATCCCCAGAGGCAGACCAGGCACAGCCTTGGATCCACTCTGCAGTCCTCAGATTCTGTAGTTCTAGGCAGATACGTTGGATGGCAGTACTCATGTCCACAGGTCATCAGTTTCTCATGGAGAACGTGAATGACTCCTTCCACCTGACTGAGGCAGGGTGGGCCAGGCACCTGGCTCTTGTAGCAGGGGTTTGTGGTGTGTTGGAGGGAAGAGTGAGGCTAGATTAATGAGCAAGCAACTCGGGACTAACTCACCACCAGCTGATTTGTCAGTATTTGTCTTCTCACCTACCATACACAGCCAACCTTTTAGCTTTCGAGAAGACATTTTTAGGACTCATCTGTGAAACAGAGAAGTCCTCATGAGAACTCTTTTTTGTATGGCCTGGTTGGCCAGTCAGTTCTCTGGATCCTGTGAAGGGGCCTGTCCAGTGCTGGAGGCAATGGGTGGGGGCGGGGAGAAGAAGGCCTGTCTTAGGGAGGAGCTACTCTGACCTTAATGCAGACTTACTCACAGGAACCTAGAAAGACCTTTCCAAACAAGTACACGGGAAGGACCCTGGTGTGCAAGCAACTAGTATGGGAGCTTAGAGAAGGAGATCCTGTGGGTTTCAAGAATTGCGGTGGGCTTTCTACAGGAGGCCAGATTACCCAGGACTTTGAACGTAGACATGCAGGTGAGTGTAAGTGAAGCCGGGATCCTTGGCTCTTTTACCCAGTTCAGGATCTTCCTCTCAAGATGGACGGGTCTCTTCTCCCTCCCTGAATCTCTTTCCTGCTGTCAGGGGCAGATGCCCTCCGAGGTCCAGGGGGCAGATGGGAAGGGCAACTTCAGGGCTGAGATCAGCAGCCTCCTGTGTTCACTTCCTTAAACTCCCTGTCTCTCTGCTTTCTCCCTGCCAGGACCCAGCCGCCGCCTCCATCTCAGACGGAGACTGTGATGCCCGGGAGGGTGAGTCAGTAGCCATGAATTACAAACCATCCCCGCTCCAAGTAAAGCTGGGTGAGTGGGTCTGGGGGGTGAGAGAGATGCGGGGAATGGACGAGGTGCTCTGGGCTGGGTCTGCAGCATGGTGCCACACATGAAACCTAGGGCCAAATGGTTCCAAGACTCAAGCCACCAAGTCACTGTCACTGCCAGGTACCTTATTTCTTGCAAAGCAAAGAGGGACGTTACAGTTCTCTGCAGGACCCACAACTCTGGGAGGCATCTCCAAGATGGCTCCAGATATTCCAGGGGAGAGCTGCAGGGATAGAGGCATGGCAGTAGGTGGGTGGCAGTAGCTATGTCTGAGGGGTAGAAAGAATGAGGATTCCAAAGCCTAGAAGCTGAGCCCCTCACCCGATTCCATCCTCAGCCCATCTGGACATCTCAGAGCCTAGTGGGCTCCAGTTTGGGGGAGCTTTTTCTCAGCGTTTTTTAGTAAACTCAAGTATCTCTCCCCCTTTCCAGGGTCACCTTTCCCCCTTGGGGTTTTTCTCATGTCCATTCTGGAGTCAGTTGATGCCACAGGCTGCTCTTTGAAGTCACTTGGATCCCAGCCACTGCCCATAGCTCCAGCAGCTGCTGTTCTCACTTCACCCTAGGCCGAACACTGCCCCTCTCTCCTCAGGGACCAAGGCTGCTTCCTATAACAGACTTTTATTTTTTAAAAATTGGTTTGTTAAGAGAAATTACAACACAGTACATCCAGGAGAGTTTACAATTAAATGCAGGTAATCACTAGCCTTCAGAACTCCTCTGCCATTCCTTTCTCCTCAGGCTCCAGCTGCCCACCCCTCAGCAGTCCTAAGAGCCTAAACTTCCAATCCTAAACCTTCTCCCACCGCAGCTGCCAGGACTCCCTTTTCATGGAATTCTGCTCTTTAATTTTTTTTTTTTAAGTTGTGTGTCTTTTACCTTGCTTTTCTCCTTCCAGACCACAGCTAGAGAACCCCCAGGCTGTTTTTCTAAACAAGAGAGCAGTTCTCTCAGCGGAATTTGTTCCTCTTCAAAGATATCAGACTCAAAGTACAGCGAGTTTTGTGTATTGTTGTTTAATTTAACAATACAAGTGTTCTAACAAGTATAACTTCTTTTAATCATTCTAAGTTTTTGTTTCTTACTTTTAATATATATACTTTTATTAATTTCAGAGAGGAAGAGAGAGAGAGAGAGAAACATTAATAATGAAAGAGAATCACGCCCCCCACTGGGGATGGAATATGCTCTCACTGGGAATTCAACCATGACTTCCTGGTTCATAAGTCGATACTTAACCACTGAGCCACACCCATTAGGCTGTCTTTTAGTTTTTGTTATTTAACATAACTGGTTCCATATTGTACCCATTTTCTGAAACTTCTTTTGTTTTTGTATTCCACTTAATGTCTTGGAGCTTCTTCCAATGTCAGTATATAGAGAATGAGTTCATTCTTTTAAGTAGTTGCATAGTAGACTGTAGTTTGGTTTTGCCAGTTTATTCTTTGAATTTTTTTTTAATTTCAAACATGCTTTTAAAATAACAACTTTTTCCTTTTCCGTTACATTACCACCAAACTCCTCATTAAAATTCAAAACCTTGCCCAGTAGCACTCAGGGGAAAAATCACCATCACCACCTCCAGGAATTTTAAGGCAAATTGCACCCCCTAGAGGCTTGGAGTGGTAATGGTAGCTGCTGCCTGCTGAAAAGAGGCTGGGGAAAAACTGAAGGAGTCAGATGAGCGGTGGCAAAGTAAAGAGGGTCAGCCACTTGGCCATGAGAGAGTCAGACACATGACAGTCAGAGGAGGTTCCAGAGTCACAGTTGCTAGAGACGCCCACCCATTCTTTCCCCTAGCATCCCTCTCCACCCAACAGTCCCTTTCCCAGCATCTAAGCTTTTCTTGGGGTGAGTAGGAAGGGGTACACAGGCCCCTTCCAGGCCCCGGCAGATTGCTGTTCCTGGTAACAGTGCCACACACACCAGACAGTAGGTCACCTGGTGGCCAGTCCCATGAATCTGGTGGGCTCTGGAGCCTCAGAGAACTCAAGAGGCTAGAGGAGAGCAGAGTATAGCCAGAGGGGCTCCTCCAGCCTCTTGCCCCTTCGCCTGCCAGCCCCATTCTGCCCCTCCTATTCCATAACACTTGGTGGCTCCTCTTCCTTCCACATTAATCCCAAGCCCTGCTATCTGGAATTCAAAGTCATGCCCTGAGCACAGGTCCTGGGATTGGTGACACAGATGTTGTTAATAAACAAATGACTGAATAAATGTATCTTTTTCAACCTGTCCTCCATCTTCACCCTCCATCCCATCCAGATCCACACTTCCTATGCTCACTTCTACTGTAAATGCATTTTTTGTGTACATTATCCCTCCTTCCTAGCATGCCCTGCTCTCTCCAGTTCTAGATGTCGTCTGTAGGAAGCCCTGACAGCCCCAGCCTTCTGCTCTGTCTCTCCCTCTCTAGCCTTTCTCTGGCATCGAGGACACACTAACTGCTCCACATGGGAGTACAGCTCCTGGAAGACAGGGGTCAGCTTTCCCCGATTGCCCCTCACTATCTGCCTCAGGTTGTGCAGGGCCAAGTAAAGTCTTCACTGAGCAGCAGAGCCTGGAATTAGGATCCCTGCCACAGTGCTTGCAGAAGCAAAGCGTTTCCCAATGGACGCCCAGCCTAGGCTGCCCTGAGCAGTAAGGTAGGGTGGCCCTGGGGGCAGGACACAGCTTCCTTCCCATATTCCCCTGCAGAGAAGCAACGGGAGCTGGCCCGGAAGGGCTCCCTGAAGAACGGAAGTATGGGTAGCCCTGTACTCCAGCAACCCAAGAAGAACACTGTCATGGCCCGGACAAGGTAGACACCCCCCACACACACACCCCACCTGGTCCCTGCCAGTCAGCATCTGTCCCGATGTTGGTCCTGAGCCTTTCCCTCTTCCCTCCTTCCTCAGGCCAAGCTCCTCTCTGAGAGCAGAGAATCTCAGCAGAATCCACGGGGGAGGGGGAGGGGAAGTGGTGGGGCAGGGCCCAACACAGTTCCTCACCAAGCTTGTGTGTTCCCGTTGCCAATCCAATCCCCCCATTTCTCCACCCAGGCTGGTCGTTCCCAATAAAGGCTATTCCTCGCTTGACCAGAGCCCAGACGAGAAGCCACTGGTAGCCCTTGACACTGACAGGTGTGTACAGGGGTGTTGGGGCAGCTGGGCAAGCCACAGGAGCCTGTGAGCACACAGGTGGACTGGACAGGCCACACCTGCCAGAGTGTCAGAATTGAGATATCCCTCAGACAGCCAGGAACTCTCCGAGGATGAAGCCCCCAGGGACTGGAATGTTTTACCTGGAGGTGGGGAAGAGTAGAGAGAGGGAAATGGGACTGGTACAATCTATTGCTATTCTGGGACAGCTGACCCAATGGCTGCCCTGAGAATGGGCACTGATTCAATGCTTAACACCCTGCCCCTGCGAGGGAGCAGCCCTGCTGCTGGGAGCACACCTGGCTAGACCTGGACTTTGGGAAAACTCAACAAGCCAGGGCGATTTGAGCCCAGATAAAAAGGGGAAGGGCTGGGGGGAAAGGAATAGCCTCTCCACTCAGAAAGAGGGTAAGGGTGGCAATTTATTTAGAAAGCTGGGGCTAGGGAACTTGTCTTCGAACTGCATTTGTACAGCAAGCAGTTTTCATTTAGATTGTGCTGTTTATTTGGAAGTGTGGGAGAAGGGTGGGGTATTGACTGGTGGGGGTTAGGGAGGCAGTGCAGGGAGTTTTCTATTTAATTTCTATTTAATCACTTCCCTCTGTCTCCTTTTCTCCGTGGCCAGCGATGATGACTTTGACATGTCCAGATATTCCTCTTCTGGTTACTCCTCTGCTGAGGTGAGGCCCTAGACACACCCCTCTGAGCAGGGATGGGCCAATGCCAAATCACACCTGAGGGGTGCTATGGGCAAAGCTAGGCTGAGCCGCTGTGGGGTGGGTCCTAAAGGGGGCAGAGCTGAATAAAGGTGAGGCTGTTAGACCTTGGCCTCAATTTAAGGGGTCCTGAGATTAGGGGTGGGACTTGAACCAAGGGTTGTTACTTAAATAGAATGCAATGAGAAAAACAGACCACACCTTATGGGATGTGCCTCAAGTAGGAGCAGGACCCTAATAGAGACAGGGCCCGAGGTGGGAAGTTACCTGTAGAATGGGCGGGGGGAGAGGGGGGTCCTGTCATGGGACAGAGCCTCATAAGGAACTGCCTGTAAAGAAAGTGAGGCCAGAACTGAATTGGGGGTGAAGCCAGGGGTTTCTGGAGAGACCTGGGATGGGACAGATCTGGGGAAGGCCTGGGGATGTGGTCAGGCTGTGGGTGGTGCCCCTGGGTCCTTGGAGCCTGACCTCCCTCCCCTTTGTCTACAGCAGATCAACCAAGATTTGAACATCCAGCTGCTGAAGGATGGCTACCGGTTAGATGAGATCCCCGACGACGAAGACCTGGACCTCATTCCCCCCAAGTCCGTGAACCCCACTTGCATGTGCTGCCAGGCCACGTCCTCCACTGCCTGCCACATTCAGTAGTGGGTGGGGCCGCCGCAGCCAACGGAGCCGGGCCGCCGGGGTCCAGGTCTGACAGGGCAGGGGCGGACCCCTCCCCAGCTCTCCTGCCAGCCCCCCGGCCCCGCGTCCCCTACAGCCGCCAACCTCGTAACAGTCATTGCTTCCTCCTATGGTAGGACGTGTACCTCTGTGTGTTCATGGAGCCGGAGAAACCAAGCCCGGGTCTCTCTCTATCCCAGAGACTGAGGCGGGGAAGGGGCTGTTTGTTCAGTCACTCGGGGGACTTTGCCCAGCACCTTTTTGCTCTCCCCGAAGCTACGGTCCAGTGGGAGAGTGGGGGACTGGACAGCAGGGAGGCCAACAGTAATGAGTGGGAGGGACCACAAAGCCAGGGGCTTGGCCCCACCCCATGAAGCCATGAACCCCAGCCCAGAAAGGAAAGGGACCTTGAGGTAGAAAGGCCCAGTGGAGTGGAGGCAAGGCCTGGTACCTGGGAGCCCCTCCAGCAGCCCCTGTTGGCCACGTACCCATTTGCATTTCTCCCCTCATCTCCAGATGGGAAGCCTGGCAAAGCTGCCCAGTGAAATATTGTCCCCTACTTATCGGATCACTGCCTATTTCCTCCTCTTTGTCCCATTCACCCCCTCCCTCCTTCCTTTCTTCCTTCCTTCCTTCCTTCCTTCCTTCCTTCCTTGTTCTCTGAGTTGAGGGTAAGAGGTCTTAGAGACAGGCTAGAGTTTGAGATGGCTGGGATGATATGATCTGTCCTCCCCTGCCCTTAACCAATGTATTTCTCTGCCAACCCCTACACACACACACACACACACACACACACACACACACACACACACAAACACACAAATGCTTCTGTTCATTGGTCTCTGTCCCAGGCTAGAAGCAGGAGATAACACTAGCCTCGAATGCCCCATTCCCATCTCACTCCAGCCCAAGATCCTCTGAACGACATCTCACTGTGCTCTGGTCTATGCCCCCACAAACCCCATATCCAGGCCAGGGTTGTGCTCTCCATCTTCCATGCTGCCACCTCACAGCCCATTCCCTGGGAGGCGGAGCTGGAAGAGGGAGAGGGAATGAGAGAATAAGGCTGCTAGCTTAGGGAGGGCAGCAGCTCAAATTCTTTTTCCCAGTAAGAACCTTCAAGGGAGCAAGCTGAGGAGAATACTATGGCTGCCTGTGTATGGTAGGGAGAGCTTGGTAGGATATGTGTGTGCATGTGTGCCTGAGGCTGTCAGGGTGGGTGTCTGTCTCTATGTGAGCCTGTCTCTTTAGACGGTGAGGAAGTGACTGTGTGTTCAGCTTTACGGTGTGAGAGGCCTTTCAGCAGTGCGGTGGACTGAGAGCCCTGGACTGGGACGCACAGCCTGTTCTGGCCCCAGCTCTGGCACTGTCCCGGTGGTCTTCCACAAGCCACTCTGTTCCCTGGGCTTCAGCTGTCAAATGAGCAGCGTCTGCAAGTTCTGAAGACACTTCTTCATAGGAATGTCTGTGAAGGTGTATAGGGAGGTCTGTGTGTGTCTTTGAGTACACACAGGAGGCTTCCTGAGTTGTATGTCTGTATGAAAAGGAGAAAGGGAAGTTCCTATGGGACCTGTGTATATTTGAATGCATGCAGATCTATTTGGGAACATGTGTGTGTGTGTGTGTGTGTGTGTGTGTGTCTATGAATGTGTATGTGTGTGAGTATATGTTGTGTATGTGAGTATATGGGCTGTCTGTGAGTCAGAATGTGTGTATTGCTGTCTCTGCTGCTGTTGCTGGGGTGGGGGAGACGCCAGAGAAGCTGATGATGAAAGTCAAGGTCCTCCCCTGGGACTGGGCAATATAGACCTGCCCCGTGTAAAGAAAAATGAAAGCACAGTTAGCCTAAGACTGCTCTGGTCTATGCCCCACAAACCCCATATCCCAGGGCCAGGCTGTGTGCTCTCCAGTCTTCCACGCTGCCACCTCGCAGCCCATTCCCTGGGAGGCGGAGCTGGAGGAGGGAGAGGGAATGAGAGAATAAGGCTGCTAACTGAGGAAGGGCAGCAGCTCTCCCTGTACTGCACCCAGGGGCTGCCAGCTCCCACGAGCTAAGGTGAAGCGCTCCAACCCCCAACCTACCCCTACCTCCTCTGGTAACAGGGGCCCTTGTTAGCTGATGAGAAAATGCCAAAGGGAGCAAGGACAGAGACCGAACCTTCAGGGCCCACAAGGCCCATACCAGCCCGCAAACATACCCATTTCTCCTGCCAAGGTCAGGTTCCCACACCCTGTCATCTGGACCCAGAGCCAACCCTCCCACTACTGTCACCGCCAACCTGGGCTTCTCGACTCCCTCTTCGAGAACGTGGGTACTTCCTCTTTTCCAAGCAGGGCCCCACCAAGGCTCGCTTAGACTGCTACCTTTGCTGCTGATTTGCTGTGTGACTATAGCCCATTGCTGAGCCCCTCTGGCCCTGAGGAACCAGGGAAGAACTCCCTCCCCACAGGACATGCCTAGTTCCCTGGCAGGCAAGGACTTCCCACTGCGGCAGTGAACAAGGGGCCGGGAGAGGTAGGAAGCTGGCAGCCAGCACCTCTGGGTCTAGGAAGTGTGTGGTTCCTTCCTCCCCTGTCTGGGAGGATGGAGGGGAGGAACTGAGGCCTTAGCTTGCCCCCTGCCACTCTTCCCCCTTGTAGATACTGCCTTAACACTCCCTCCCCCCTCAGCTCTGGCTGCCGCCCAGCCAGGTTTCTCCGTGCTCACTAATTTATTTCCGGGAAGGTGTGTGGAAGACATGAGCCGTGTATAATATTTTTTTTAACATTTCCATCGCAGTATTGACCATCATCACCCTTGACTGTGTATCGTGTAACACAAATAACGATATTAAAGGCTTCAAACAAGCCCGCCTCAGCTCCCTGACTGGGGTGTGGGCAAGGGGCAGGGGGGCTGGGATGGGGAGAAAACGGGTCCTCTGAACGCACATTTCACTCTACCTCCACTCGTGGGTTCCCAGGCGAAGCCTGCCACTGACCTGCTGCATCCCCCTGGTGAGTCACTTGGCCCACGGGAACCTCCAGTTCTGTTCATCAAAGCGAGAAGGTTGGCCTAGAACATCTCCAGGGGCCCTCTGCACTCTCGGAAACCGGGTTCTTTTGAGAGGACTTGAGGGAGGAAAAGGCTGGAGTAGGAAGAGAATCGGACCTCCTCACTTCCTCAGGGCTGGGACTGAGCCAGGTGATATCATAATGGGCAGTGCCCATCCTGGAGGGGGCAGCAGGGTGGGGTAGGAGCAGGAAAGCTGTGAGGGGGAAGTTGAGAGTCCTCCATAGGGAGGGAATCACAGCAGCTAAAGGCGCCTGCTGGGCTGGCGGCGTGGGCTATCTGGGAGGGGGATCACTGATGGTTTGCAGGGCCGCTGGGTAGGTAGAGCCCACCTGGGCATTCCCTAGACTCCACTATGTTCCTCTTCTCCCGAAAGACCAAGACCCCCATCAGCACCTACACTGACTCCTACAGGGCTCCTACCTCCATCAAGAAGGTCTACAACGACCCACCTCTGTGGGCCTGGGAACCCAACAAGTTTGTGACCCAGGTAAGCAGAGGTTGGGATGGGGGACAGGGGCAGGCTAATGCGTATGGCCATGCATGTCTGGATGACTGGAAGTGTGTGGTTATAGTTATGTTTGTAATTATTTGTAGCGTTGCATGTGTGTTTTTTATTCTTTTGCCTAGGTGTGGAACTTATAATGATATATAAAATAATGCAAGAGCCTGCTTCCATGTAAAGAGATAAGTTAAGAAATAAGACTTTTATGCCCTAAAGGAAGTAAAAAGGGTAGTGGAAATGGAAAGTAACCAGAGAGAGTTACTCAAATAGAGGTCATAGAAGACCTAGATGAGAGCCAGGTTCTCTGAAAGAATAGAGATATCTCAGAAAATACCCAATAGCCATGTTTTTGTGTATGCATATCAGTCTCCTTGTGTCTGTGCCACTTGCACAAAATGGAGAGATGAGTGAGCCTGATTGTGACTGTGTAAGGGAATTTAGCTGTATGCACCACCCAACAAACTCTGTTGGGGATCTACATTTGCCAGGCTGTCTTTCAGGAGCGCTCAGCAAACAAGTGAATAAAGTAGGGCTGTGCTGTGTGGAGCATGCCCCAGCAAAGACATGGGCACTGGTCCAAGAGCCGGAAAGAGGAGAGCATTCCTGGGCCTTTAGGGCAGGTCTATGAGAGATTCAGGGGGAGGAAGCTTCCACGGGGCAGCCTGGGGCCAGGGGCCCACTGGGACGGAGAAGTACAAGTGCAGAGGGAGGGCGAGCCCTGTGGTAAGAGAGGAGCCTGCAGACATGAAGGGCCTCAGGCTGTGTTAAGAAATAAGGACAAAATGCTCCAGTTTTTTAAATCTGTCAGTGTCATCATTAGTTTGTGAGTTATGCCACTCTGGCTACAGTGGCAGGAGATTGAAGGGGTTGGGGCTGAGGGCAGGAGGCAGAGTGAGATGGCAGAGGATATATGTGGGAGACAAGGATAGACTGTGGCAGAGAAAAGGGGAATTAATTGCTTAATGCAGAAAATGGGGATAACTCAAAGAGGCACAAAGAAAAAAAGGTCTATAATCTCACTACCCCAAATAACCACTGTTCATTTATTATATGCCCATTTAGGAAGCAAATATATTTTATGAAAATTGTATACTAATATTTTGAATCTTGCTTTTTTTTTGTATAGCTGGTCATTTTCCTTGTGAAACATAATTTTAATAACTCTATACTTTTTTATTTTATGAATGTACGAAGAAATATGTTATTATGGAAGTTTAGATTATTTATAAAACTTAGATTATTTATAAAATTTTGCTAATATTATTCTGTATATATCTATCTTTTTATGCATCAACTGTTCCCTAAAGACAAATTCCTAGACATGAAATTGTTAGGAGGAAGGACATGCACATTTTAAAAACGTTTGATATACACTTCAAATTTCTGTAATAAGGTTTGTAATAATTTACATGCTGACCAGCAAAATATGAGCATGCCTACCTGCTTTTCCACACTCAATAGAAAAAAAAATTAAGAAATAGCCAAAACCAGTTTGGCTCAATGGATAGAGCATCAGCCTGCAGACTGAAAGATCCCAGGTTCGATTCCAGTCAAGGCCACGTACCTTGGTTGTGGGCACATCCCTAGTGGGAGGTGTGCAGGAGGCAGCTGATCGATGTATCTAACTCTATCCCTCTCAATTCCTCTCTGTAAAAAAAAACCAATAAGATGTATTTTTAAAAAGACAACTACTGCATTTAAAAAAAATACTTCATATAAAAAAAAAAAAAAATAGAGCCGAAACCGGTTTGGCTCAGTGGTAGAGCGTCGGTCTGCGGACTGAAAAGTCCCAGGTTTGATTCCGGTCAAGGGCATGTACCTTGGCTGCGGGCATATCCCCGGTAGGAGGTGTGCAAGAGGCAGCTGATAGATGTTTCTCTCTCATCGATGTTTCTAGCTCTCTATCCCTCTCCCTTTCTCTCTGTAAAAGGTCAATAAAAAAAAAAAAAAATATATATATATATATATATATATATATATATATATATATTTAAAAAAAATAGATCAACATGTCTTGTTCACCATCAGTATATAAAGAAGAGAGGAGAGATTAGAATGATTCCTGGATTGGGGGCTCTGGCGACTAGAGGAATGGATAGTGCTACAAATTGAGATTTGGAATCATAGAGCTTTGGAATGGATTTGGGGGCAAAAATATTCAAGGACTTTCAGGAAAATATGTCTAGTGGATAGTTGGCTATACTTAGCTCTGAAGCAAAGGAAAGTGGTTTGGATTACAGATATATATTTTTAAATCATCAATATATCAGTAGTAGCTGAAGCCATAGGAGTGAATAGGATTGTGAAGGAAAAATAAGAAAATGATCAATCTCGGAATTGTGGAGAATATCAATATTTAAAGGGTAAATAAAGGAAGAAGAGCCATAAAAGGAGACAGTGATAGGAAGAAAGTCAAAGAGAAGCCAACCAAGATAGCATCGTTAGACAAAAATCAGTATCAAATGTCAAACAGAAAAGAATCACTTGGATATAGTAACACTTAGTCACCGGGCCAGACGCGTCAGTGAGTAGCAGTGGGATTAAGAACGGAAGCCTGCCGGCGAGGCTCAGTGGATGAGCTCAGTGGATGAGCGCCTCGGTTCCACTCCCGGTCAGGGCACATGCTTGGGTTATGGGCTCGATCCAATCAATGATTATCTCTCATTATTGATGCTTCTCTCCCTTCCTCTCTGAAATCAAAATATATATATATATTTTTTTAAAAAGGAATGAAGGAAAGGGTTTTGCTTCTGGCAGTACGGTGATCTAGAAAACTCTGAAAACCCTCCTGCTTCAAAACAGCTAGATCTTGCATAAAGTTATTTTGTACTCTCATGGAGGTGAGTGGTAAGTATACTTAAAAGACAGGATTGTCCTGAAGACAAATGTCAGCACTACAAGCAGGAGTTTAAGTCTTCAGCTAGCTAAAAGATGGAAGAACTAAACCTACAAATTCCAAACTGAACCAGAAAGTTTAGTGATCTCTAGCTCCCTGCCCCCAACACACACACACACACACACAATTACTGTATGTATCTCTTCTATGGTGAGAAATATTCTCAATGTATGTTTCCAGGTATCCTTTAGAATAAAGGCCAATCAAATCTGAGCTCAAGAGATATAAGAAAACAAACCACCATGTGACAGTCAGCAGAAACAACCATCTTAAACCTCCAAGGACTTCAGATATTGAAATTAATAGTTAATGAATATGAAATAATTATGAATTTTTTAAATAAAATGTGAAATAATTAAAATGAGCAAACAACAGGAGATTGTATTTTTAAAATATCAGACAAATGTAAGAAAAGAACTGAATAGCAATTTTAAAATGAAAACCATAAGAGTTAAAACCAAATATTCATATTGGGATACTGGATGGGTTAAAGAACAGATTAGACACAGCTTAAAAGCCTCACTGGAATGAAAGATAGAAATTTTCCAGAATGCAGCACAGAAAGACAAAGAGATAGGAAATATGAAAGAAACTTTAATCAGTATGAAAGAAGAAAATTCACACACATCTACTTGGTGTCCAAAAAAAAAGCAGAAAGAATAAGAATTATCTGAAGAGAGGAAAGCTCTGAATTTTCCGGAACTAATGAAAGAAATGAATCCACAGCCACAGAATAAACTAAAGGAATTCCACATTTAGATGCCTCACAGTGAAACTGCACAACACCCAGACTTGGGTGACATTGCAAATCTGTGGGAGAAGATAGATACTTAATGGGACCATTAGTTATCCATATAGACAAAAATAAAATTTATCCCTAAATCACACCAAACTCCAAAAGCAATACGTCACAGATTAAAAGCTTAAGGAAAATAAACTGTGGCTTATAATTAGAGGAAAATATAAGACATTATCTCCATTATCTTAGCATGTGGATGGATTTCTCAAATCACAAAAGCACTACATAACAGGTTCATAAATTCAACTATGTTAATATTAAGAACTTTTGTTCATCAAAAGATACCACAGAGAAAATGAAGATACAAGCCAAAAATCGAGAGGAGGTATTTGCAAGATGTGACTGACAAGGAATTAGTATATAGAATAGATAAAGAATCACAGTTTTCTGAGTTAAAATTAAACACAGGCAGTGTCGCCGAAACCGGTTTGGCTCAGTGGTAGAACGTCGGTCTGCAGACTTAAAGGTCCCGGGTTCAATTCCGGTCAAGGGCATGTACATTGGTTGCAGACACATCCCTGGTAGGGGGTGTGCAAGAGGCAGCTGGTCGATGTTTCTCTCTCATCGATGTTTTTAGCTCTCTATCTCTCTCTTTTCCTCTCTGTAAGAAAATCAATAAAATATATTTTAATAAATAAATAAATAAATAAATAAAAATAAACACAGGCAGTGTGCAATCTGAAGAAAGAGGACAGGAGCTTCCAACTCTGTCCTTCAGAACCACCCAGTCAAAAAAAAATGACAGAAATGAAAACATCAGAAAACCATTCTGACTGAAGTCAAGTGCCTGGCTCTAAGCCCTGGTCTTAGATGAAAAGAAAGAAGCAAAGGGCAATTCAAATAAGAGAACTATTCAGAGGGGCCCAAGGCTGGTATGGGAGTCCTCAGGCACAGGTGGTGGTTTTGAAATCTGGGACTTTTTCTAATTTCTTTTTCTTACTTTTGGGGGGGAGAAAATATTCATGTGTTATCCTGTTTGGTGTTTTGTTTTGTTTTCGTGGAATTTAATTATTTTATACACACATTCATCAAATTCCTTGGCATTTCAAACAAAGAATTTTCCATAACTTTTTAGTTTGCCTTTTGTTATTAATAATATATTTTGTCTCTGATACTCATCATGCAAGGCCAAAACTGTTTGGTTTGTTAGAAGTGTAGCAACTTTTTAGAATAAATAAAAATTTAAAAGGGGAGGCGGTTGGGAGACCCACCTGGGCTGACCTTCTCAATAGTGGCTGGACTTAAGTCCAATGGGACTCCAAAGCTGGAGTCTCTGGCCGAAACCAGTTTGGCTCAGTGGTAGAGTGTCGGTCTGTGGACTAAGGGGTCCCAGGTTCGATTCCGGTCAGGGGCATGTACGTTGGCTGTGGGCACATCCCCGGTAGGGGGTGTGCAAGAGGCAGCTGGTCGATGTTTCTCTCTCATCGACGTTTCTAGCTCTCTATCTCTCTCCCTCTCTGTAAAAAATCAATAAAATAAAAAAATAAAATAAAAAGCTGGAGTCTCTGTGCACTTAGCCATTTCCTTCCTCTCCCCTTGCACAGGGCCTGACTAGGACTTTTCATCGCAATGTGGATCAGGAAGCCCTGGAGAAGATGGTTAAATGTGCTGTGCGGGACTACACCTATAAGAGTTCCATACCAGGCCACCCCTACTTGCCTGAGAAATACTGGCTCTCTCGAGAGGAAGGTAGGGCCTCACCCCTTGCCCAACTCTAACCCTACTCAGTGACCCCCAACAATGACACTCCATCTGAACCCAACGTAGATCCTGACCTCTACCCCAATCATATATCAGTGTTATCTCCCCCATGACCGGGGCTTCTTCCCTAACTATCCCCACTCCAGCTTGGCTCCCAAACCACTTGACCTGACATTAACCTTGGAGGAGATTCAGCCCTGTCTTTTGGGAGCTTCCTGTCTATGCCAAAGAACTGGAACAGGCCTAGGTCTCATCCCCAGAGAGATAGAGGAAGTATTAACCTCCTCCAAACAAACCCAAATGCCATCTCCTCCCAACTTCTTGGTGACCCTTTTTCATCAAGTTCCCCATCTCTCCTGCATCCCTCTGCCTTACCACACCTCTTCCCCTTCCACCTGTAAGTCTTTTCCAATATATTCCTGCCTAAAAAGTCTCTCTTCCTTCTCCCCTTCACAACCAAGATTTTCAGAGAAACAGTCTATATTCACTGTTTCTACTTCCTCACTCCTTCTTATACCTTATGAGAAATTATCCTTCTCATTTGACTAGATGTTAATGATCTGTCACATTCCAAAAGAGCAGAGAGTCATGTCTTAATCACAGATGTGCCCCCTCCATATAAAAAATAGCACCAAGCTTCAAAAGTACTTATTGAATGGATTGATGAGCCCAGGTCTGCATCTTCCACACTCAAAACATTAAAATTGTTCTTGTGTGGTTCTAACTACCACATCCATGATACTCTTCAATCTTTACCTTATGAGACCCACCTTATGCATTTCACTCTCTGACTGCTCTCTACTTCTTGAAACTCCTTCCTTACCCAGCTTCTCTCATGCCTCAACTTCCTGGGTATCTTGTCATCTCACTCTGGAAAATTGGGTTCCTCTGAGAGCTAATCCTAGCCCTCTTCTCTCCTTATTCCTCTTCTGAGACCCTTTCAACATCTTTACTGACAACTCCAAGACTTTATTTCTAGCCTCGACCTCTCATCAGAATTCCACTCTCCATCTGACTATGGTCATCTTTACATGAATGTCCCAAACTCAATGTGTCCAACCCACCAACCCAGAACTCCAAATCCCAAAACCACGCCACATACACACACTTGCCCTTTCTCTAGGGCTCCTAGACCTCCTTTCCTGATGTCTCTCGTATGTGTTCTTTCAGACTGTTAGGAGAGTGTATCACAGAGGGGCTTGTTGGACAAACTTAGGTGATTGCGTGAAGAGTGCTTTGAAAGGTTTTAAGTAGGGAAGTATCTTGATCAGATTTATATCTGTAAAAAATGTGCCAAAGCTTTTGTGTAGAGATTGGATTGTAGGATTTCAAAAATGAGGTAGGGAGACCAGTAGACTAATAAAATAATAGTTTTCTAAGTTCCAAGTATTTACATATATTAATTCATTTCAATCTCACAACAACCCTATAAAGTAGACAGTATCCCATTTTAAAATTGAGTAAACAGTTACAGTGAAATTAACTCAGTCAAATAACACACAGCTAATATTTGGCAGAGCTGAAATCTAAAGACAAGCAGCCTGTCTGCAGAGTTCATTCTGTTGATCACAACATTGTATGGTCTCTGGGTTAAGGCACTGAAGATACAGAGAGGTCATGGGAGACTGGAAGAGGGGGGTAGATTCACGTGGTTTTAAGGAGGCAGAATAAGCAAACTTGGGAAACTAAATGTGGAAGATGAGTGAGAGGGAGCAATTGGAAAGAGGCCCAGCTTCCAGACTGGCTCATTCAGAGAGGGTTGTGCCAAGATAAAAAGCAATCAGCTCAAAGCACCCAGACCCACGTAGAAGCAAGCTTGAGGTAGAAAAGGGGCTGAAACCCTAGCTGGTTTGGCTCAGTGGATAGAACATTGGTCCATGGACTAAAGTTTCCCCTGGTTGATTCCTGTCAAGGGTCAAGAGCATGTACATGGGTTGCAGGCTCAACCCAGGTTGGAGCACATGCAAGAGGCAAGCAATTGATGTGTCTCTCTCACCACAATGATTATTTCTTTCTCTTTGTCTCTCCCCCTCCCATTCTCTCTTTTTAAAAAAATCAATGGAAAAATATCCTTAGGTGATAAACAAAATAAAATAAAGAAAAATAAAGAAAATGGTATGTATCTCAGTGTCTAAGACAATTATGGGGCCAGGCTGGGCTTTGATTGGCCTGAGGGAAATTGGGGAGAATGCAGTTTTGTGCTGGAGATCAAAGGAGAAACATTTAGGGGTAGAATAAGGAGTAACACTGTCTTACGTCTCCACCCTTACAATCCAGCAGACAGATGCAACCCCAACTATTTGTGTAGTGACTGGGGTAACTCATGGAGAATGGGGCCTTGCTGCTGCAGTGGCTGGAACAAGTGTACCACGTGCCTTCCCCGGCTGCCTAAGGTATCTACCCGGCTCAGCACAGATGGTGTCTGAGCACACGCACCTCCACCTCCCAAACCACAGTGACATATCCATTAGCACTGCTCCAGGACTCTTTCCCATCCACGACATTGTGAAACTAGGGTTTGTATTTTCCAGGAGACAAAGGAACCCAGGAGTGGAGTTGTGCTAGGTCACTGGGAGTAATTTCTGCCTGGGTTCTACGGGGCTAGGTTAGTGTGCACTCCTTGACACTCTACTCCGGAAGCTTGCTCCTTGGCTCCTCCCACACGTCTGGCCGAGAAGGAGGCAGTGTTAGGCAGTCTACCTGCTCTGCTCTGCTTTCCTTTGTGATGTCAGCACTGACAAAGGAGGGAAAATAAGGTCCCGCAGAGGCAATGCAGATAAACACAGGGGAGTGACCCCAGGAAGGAAGGAGTCCATTGCAGCCACGGTCTGAGGGAGGGTGGGAGACTCTGAGGCCTCTGAGGCTGGCTGACCTTGAATTGACTGAACCCTTTTGAATCAGAACTTCCTCGAGAAGCAGAACTTTTCACAAATCCCCAGGGGATTCTCCTGGGCAGGCAATAATGAAAACACTCTGTTAGAGAGACTCAGAGGCATAGCGAGGCAGCGTCAGCTAGACAAAAAGAGGCAAAATCAAAGGCAAACGCTGAGAGAGGTTGTCAGACGCTCAGGTGCCTACCCGCTCCAACTAATTTCATTCCTTCCCCCCGTCCCCTTCCCAGGTAGACGGAGTAAATGCTTTGCCTGACGACAACTCCAAACAGGGCGGGGCAGAGAGGGGAGCGTCTGGAGGGCGGGATTGGGCGGGGCCTGGGACTTGTCTGGGTGCTGGGAGGGAGGACCCCAAAAGAGAGTCCTTCTAGGCCAGAGCTTGAGTGTGTGCCATTTCCAGGAAGCCGGGATGGAGACAGCAGTTCGAGGAATGCCCTTGGAGTACCCTCCTAAGCCGGAGCGACTCAATGCCTATGGTAACGAGGGGAGGGGGCAGGTGGGAGGAGAGATGGGGGAGCGGGAGAGAAGGCGGGACGGGTATAAGGAGGCCATAAAGAGTGGGATGGGGACCTGTGGGACGAGGTGGGGACCGGAGGCCCTGGAGAGGGTGTAACTCTGTCTCTGTCCCTATTTTTGTCTCTCTGTCTCTCTCTGACCCTGTTTCTTCCCATTCCTGTGACTCTCTGTCTCGGCCTCCCGGGCTGGGGACCTGCGGACCCAGAGCGCGAGGTGGTGGCGAACATGCTGAACTCGCTGTCGCGGTACCAGACGCTGCCGCAGATCACGCCCCGGTGCGGGTGCGTGGACCCGCTGCCGGGCCGCCTGCCTTTCCAGGGCTACGAGAGCCCTTGCTCGGGCCGCCACTACTGCCTGCGCGGGATAGACTACTGCGTCTCCGGGGCGCCGTGCATGGAGCGCCGCCTGCAGCCTCAGTGCCCCACGCAGCCCACTGTAAGGTTCGCAGGGCCCCGCCCAGTTCAGCCGGGCCCCGCCCCCAGGCCAGCGGGTCCCGAGTGCAGCCCTCCCCGGCTCCGACCCGAGCCTCTGCCAGCCTCCGCCTCCGCGCCAGGCCCCGCCCCCTCCAGCCCGCCCCGCCCCGCCCAGTCCCGCTAGGCCCCGCCCCGCCCCGCCTCGGGACCCTAGTCTGGAACCTGCACGAAGATTTCCCCCGCGTTTCCGATCCTGTCCCTCCGGTGCTGTGGCCAAGGTCTCCCCAGCTCCTGCATCTGTTCTGGAGGGCTCTGTTCTAAGAACTGCACCCCCTTCCCATGCCCGCCAGCCCCACTCCCTACCCGGACGCCCGGTCCTGGGGACGTGTTCTCGGGAGCATCTGTTCCTGGGCTCCGGGCCATCGTCAGCAAGGGGCAGGGTCATTGCTGGGCGCTAAAGGAGCGAGGAAATGGTGACGGGGCGACCAGGAGGAGCCCGGTCTCCTCGGAGCCCCGCACAGTCTCCTCCGCAGGGAGACAGCCTTGGGTGTCGCTGCAGGGTAAACTGAGGCCCGAGCGCTCAGCCGCAGCAGCCCAGACTGTAGTGCAGCCTTCTCTCCGCACCAGGCGGCAGGCAGGGCGGGCTGACCCTGGGAACCCTGTCCCTAACCCCCTGGCGATCCCCTGCGCCCCTCCCTTGGCAGAGAGACTGAGTCCTTGAATGAGACTGGGTCCGTCCCTTACAAGGGAATGGGGGGGGGGGGAGAGGGAAAGTTCCTGAGGCTCAGAAACACCACTCCCTGGATAGGTAGTGTCCCATATGGGGAGGACCCCGGGACTCCCAGGCCCGGCCCTCGCTAGAGTGCAGGTGCTTCCCTCCACGGCACAACTCAAGCTGCAGAAAACAAGGCCTTGTAGGGAGGGGACACTCAGGTGCCTGCCCAGAGGCGATGCTCAGGAGACTTGAAGGGAGGATCTCCGAGCCGTAGGACTGACACCTGAGGCGTCGACCAGAGTCCCGGTCTGGGCTTGGGGGTTTGGGGAAAATCAAAAGGCCCAACCATTCCCCGCCGGCCGCTTCCTCCTCCAGGAGTGTGTTGCCCTGCGAGCACCGGCCCGGGATGCACTGTGCTGTAATAACTCCCCAGCGGCCGTACTACCCTTGTCCGAACCTTAGGTAAGTCTGGCGCGGTGGAGGACCCGGGGCGAGCAGAGCGGGGGTTGGGGGAGTAGGTGTGTGTGGAACTATTAGGGGTGGATACTGTCCCCTGCGATGCATTGACTAAAATATGCCACCAGGAGGCGCTAGTGCCATGGGGAAGTCAAAACTAGCAAGGAGATGGAGGACTCCATGAAGGCGTGGAGGCCAGCATTGAAGGGTTACAGGTTGGCAGTGGGGCATAGAAGAGTCAAGATTTCAGTGTGTTAGGTTCAGGGACTGAAGTAGAGGGTGAAATGTCAATGTTATAGGGACTGGGATTTGGAAATAAAAGATTTGACCATAGAACCTGAGGTCAGTGTTGGAACCTAGGGTCAGGGTTAGGGGCAAACGTTGGGATAAGGTTAGCATTGAGAGTTGGAATCAGATGGATAAGAGTCCAAAGGGCTGGCCCATCTCTTCCCACAGGTGGGACACAAGTCACTTTAAGAAGACCGGTGGCTACCAGAGAAACAGCTATATTATCCACCCTGAGTTTTTGTCCGAGAATTACCCTGGCAACCCCTACTGGTAGAGTGGGGGACCAGGCCAAGGGGGCTGAGCAATAAATAAACTTTTCACCCCATAGGCTGCCTTTGACATTTCCACATATTCCCCTGCCTCCTGTGTCCTCATCCAGCAAGATCTGGCAATGAGGAACCAGTTACAACCAGTTACTCAGGCCTCTGCCAAGTCCCCTACACTAAGATGCAGTTTCTCCGAGTCAACCTCCCCTGAGCCCTCCCCACTCCCATCACCTCAGCACTTCCCTTAGGTGGCCCTGAGTGCCCTCCTGACACATAAAAGTAGCCCTAGAGCTGAAACCGGTTTGGCTCAGTGGATAGAGCGTCAGCCTGCTCTATCAAAAGGTCCCAGGTTCGATTCCGGTCAAGGGCATGTACCTTGGTTGCAGGCACATTCCCAGTAGGGGGTGTGCAAGAGACAGCTGATCCATAATTCTCTCTCATGGATGTTTCTAACTATCCCTCTCTCTTCTGCTCTGTAAAAAAAAAAAAAAAAAAAAAAAAAAAAAAAAAATCAATAAAATATATATATTTATAAAAAGTAGCCCTAGATTCACCTGGTGTCCTCCTCCCCTCCACCTCAGAGCCCAAACAAATGGGTCCACCTAGTCATGCAGAAAGGACCCTCCAGCTAACATTCCTCTAATATTCTCATCCCAGAATCCTCCATTCTGCAGTCAGAGCTCTGTCCCTGTACCCAAAGCTCTGGGAGTCTCCAGCACAGAAGAGCCCCGCAGAAGCTTGTGTTCATATACCTTACTGTCCTCCCCAACCCAGGGGAGGGGGCCCAAAACAATTTTGGAGGGTTTTATGACCAAGGAAGTTCAAATGACAAAACAAAGCCCTGCTTTTATGTCCCTCGGGAAGCAAGGAGTGGGGTGTTCTGGAATCTCTGGGATCTTCAGTACTTTTGCACCCATTCCTCCCTGGGGCAGGGGTATGGCGGGACACGCTCACTTCCTCGTAGTACAGCCATTTCCAACGCCTGTCACTAGGGAGTGGGGGTTGTGGGACGCTGCAAAACGCTCCGGGGGCAGCCAGTCTTCTAGGTCCCTGACCTCCATGCTGTCGGTCTGGGCTGGTGAGAACCGACAACTCGGGCCTCCCTGCTGGTGAAACCAAGGTCCCTCCGTGGAGTCCTTGATTGGATCCGCCTTATATCGGGCCGCTGAGATTCTCCGGGAATTCCGCTACCCTTTTCCCATATAAGAAACTTTTTTTTCCCCCGTATGGGAGAGCTAGTAAGAGCGTTATACCAAGACCACCTCCACTTACCCAAATCTGGAGGGGGACGAATCCCTCACACACATCCCAAATTTAGCTTGGAGGTGCAAGAAGCCTAACATTCTACAGCTGCTCCTTCCTCCAAACCTACATTTCCCTGCAGACCCTCTCCCTTTTCCCCCCACCTTACCCTCCCCCAGCTCCCCTATACTCTCTCTCCACCTCCCCCGCAGGCGGGTCAGCACCGCCCCTGTGGGGCGGGCCTGCTGGCCAGGGCGGACCCGGGAGGCACTGGGCTTGCTGCTGGCCTGTGATACCGGGAGTTGAGCCCAGAGGAGGAGAAGGAAGGTAGGGGCTAAGGAGCGGAGCCTAAGTCCGCGAGACACTGAGGGAGGAGGGTCCGGCGCCTGGGGCGGGGCTGGACTCGGAGGCCCTGGGCGAGACCACAGGACCTGGGCGGGGCCAGCCCGGGGGCGGGGCCTCCGCTGTCCCCTAGCTGGGCGGCGCTCCGCTTTGCGCGGTGGCAGCTCAGCTCTGGCTCGCGTGGAGATCTGCAGGAGCCTCCCTTCACCCCCACTTTTGGGGTCACTGCCCGTGAGTGAGCCCAGGGGGAGGGCCTTGAGGGAGGGGGTGGGTTCTGAGGAAGCTCACTTAACTTTTGCTCCTATTGCTGAGTGAGTGAGGAGAATCTGGACACCTGAGTCGCCTTGGTTTCCAGTGGGAGACGGGGCCCTTGACCTCAGTCTGTCCCTTTGGACTCTGCAGCTGTTGGGCGGGTCACTGAGGGTGGGGGTGGAGCATTCCAGGCTGGAGGCCCAGTCACTCGATCTCCCGGATCCCTCCGCTGAGCAGGGAAATGGGCCGGATCGAGTTGCCTTTGACATTTCCACATATTCCCCTGGGAACTGTGTTCGCGAGAAATGAATCCACTTGGAGTGGCCTCCCCTCACATGGGCCTGTCGGGTCATCGTCCTCATACCCGACTAGGGACTAGCAGCCAAGATTGAGGTTGACCCTTGCCTAGCCAAGTGGGGAGAATTCTTGGCTCGAGACAAACCCACCTGCAGACATTAGCCTGTGGTTGGTCTGATGGTGGAGGCAGCAGATTCCAGGAGTCTGTATCGCCACCGTTAACACTAGAATCGCTGTTCTTCTCCCATAGTCCTGGTACCAGATGCTATTAAAATTGCCCCTTTCCCACTCTCAAGAATCCTTCCTGGAGCAAGCAGCAGCAGCAGCCCGTGGAAAAACAGGCCTTACCATGCCCACACCCACTTGATAGAAGCCTGTCCCAGCCTCTTGACCACAAAGCTCCTTTCCTCTGCTGCATTCAGCCTGTCAGACCATTATGTCTTGTCTCCTAAGCCTGAGGCTGTGGAGGAGTGAGCTGACTTTTTGGATTGAGGCAATCTACTTGGGTGACTTCAAACAAATTCCTTTTTTCTGATTTGGCCACTGTTTCATATGTACAATGGGCACTGTAGCTATGCCTCCTTTTTGGCATTACTGTTAGGATGGGTGCTCTGCTGACATTTGGGAGACCAGCACAGGGCCTGCGTGGAGTAGGTGCTCAGGCCTGTAGGCTCCTGTCCATCAAAGGACCTCCAAATTCTAGAAAGTTATGCTTCTCAGAAATTAAGTGTTGGAAAAGACTTCTAAGAAGGTCACTTTGGTGGCCTCTCCAGGGGTCATGAAATGGTCTGATTTAATATGAATGTTTTGAGAATGAGGGGGCCCTATCCCGCTGTGGACCTTTACCATTTATTTTCTTGGTGCCCAGAATGGGGCCTTGAATGAATGAATGAATGAATATAAATATATATAGCAGCTCTGGCCTGGGCCACCTAAGACCATCTTTGGATTTTGTTTAGCTTGAGGTCATCAGCAATGCAGTTCCAGCCTGCATTTCTCAGGAGAACTTCTCTAATTTGTGCCTACAGGAAAGGGAATCCATACTGGGGTGGGAGGTTTGAAAGCTAAGTTATGGGGGCTGAAAGGAAGGGATTAAGAGGCTTTTCCAGACCAGCCAGAACCAACTAGCTTAGGGCATTGGGGGGCAGAGAGCACAGAGACTGAGGCCCTGAGACAGCACATGGGGGTGGGGGAGAGGCTGTTTATTGAAATCTGGGATCAGAGTTCTGATCTGCACCTGGCATTCTTTTTTTTTTAATTTTTTAATTAAATTATTATCTTTGTACATATACCATTGCTCCCCCCCTCCCATACATGCCCTCCCTCCCCAGAGTTTTGTGTCCATTGGTTGTACTTATATGCATATATACAAGTCCTTCGGTTGATCTCTTATCTCCCCCAGATCTGCCTACCCTCCCCGCTGTAATTTGACAGTCTGCTTGTTGCTTTGCACCTGGCATTCTTGATGGTCCCTTCAAGAGAGTGGTGGGGGTGGTAAAGGTCCCAAACAGTTGTTACCTCCTGGGGGACTTAGAGACAGACACTGGCATCCGGGAGGAGACTAATTACTGTTTGCCAGTCTCCCTCTCTCCCCACGCTGGTGCAGCTGGCTGGCTGGCAGTGTGTATGTCTGTGTATGCACCTGGCTATTTCTCTGTTGGACTTTGTCCTGAGGGCTAAATCAGTAAGAGTCGGTGGCCTTGAGCAGCAGGTTGCAATACACACCTCCCCCCAAGTCTATGTTTCCCAGTAATATCTGGGCGTTTAGCACACTGTGCGTGAGTGTATATGTGTGTGGTTGGGGAGGGGGTTGGCGTCTGATCCCTTGGAGACTTGGTAGGCTGGGGAGAGATGTTGGCCCAAGGTGGGTCGGTGAAATCTCCAAATCAAGTGGCCTGAAGGATTTAGGTTGGGGGGGGGGGGGGAATGAGCTTGGTAGTCATAAGATAGACCTGGCTGGACATGGAATCAAAAAGGCAGATGAGATCATATCATGCCTTGAACCTCAGTTGCAAAATTTATGCTTCTGAACTTCATCCCAGGAGTCATGAGAAGTTCTGTAAACTAGGAGGAGATGTAGTCAGATAAGTTTGTTTTTAATCCTCACCCAATGACATGCTTCTATTGATTTTGGAGAGAGAGGAGGAAGGGGGAGGGAGAGAAACCTCAATGTGAGAATGAAATATCAATCTGTTGCCTCCTGCATGTGCCCCAAATCCTCCCTCACTGGGATTCCAACCCATGACCTCCTTGTGCACTGGACGACACCCCAACCAACGGAACCACACCTTTGGGAGGATCTCTACGATTGCTACAAGCAGAAGGCATTGGGGGAAAGAAATTAGGGCATGGAGGTCTATAAGGGGAGTATTGCAATAATACCAGGTACAGGGGAGAAGAGACAGTGTCCAAAACCAGGGCAGGGGCATCAGGATAGTGGCTGAGTGGCAGAGACAAAGCCAGGTGGCAGCTGGCCGAAGGTATGGTGCTGGGAGCAGAGCAGGAAGGTGGGCAGGGAAATGGGTTGGTGAACAGTGGCTGAAAGCAGAACAGAATTTGAGGACAAAGACTGGAAGATCTGAGAAGCCAGCCACCATGGCTTTTGAGCCAGGCTCCTGACCCCAGCCCTAATGTCTGAACCCAACCCTGCCTCCCTCCAAACCAAGCCCTAGGACAGAACAAATCTCCAGATTCAATCGGGCTTCTGATTACATTCCATGCCTGAGCTGTTTGTTTCTTCTTGTTCTCTCCTCTCCCCTTCTGGGAACAAGGAAACTCATCCTACGATGCCTCCCCTCTCCCACCATGGCACATCTCTGGGGAACCATGTCCTCTCCAGATCCCTCCCCTCCTCTTCAGCTTGAACTGCTCCCATGTGCGATCCTATGAAGTCTGATACTCTGTGATCTGGACTTCTCCCTGACCCCGTGTGGGTTTGTTTCTTCCCCACACAAATGGGATGCAGGCCACCTGCCCCTTCCCATTCAGAGTCCTGACTAATGTCGACAAACATTAGGGCCCTTGGGAAAGGGTAAGATACAAATTAAGATACAAATTGCCACGTCTTAAACCCTTATGTGCCCAAATACACCTTTCCAAAGTGTACATACACCTCTTCTCTCTTGCTGCAGCACATGGAAATACTGTGGAATGAGAAGGTCCGTTCCGCCTCTCCCTTCCCCTTCCAGACACTCTGGCAGGCCAGGCTCAGATGGGCTTTGTCAAGTTGCCCTCTGCCTGCTCCTTCCTTAACTGAGGGCTAATGTCCCAAAATCTGGAGAAGAGCCAGGCCTACCCCCGCCGACGCCCTGGGCCTCACCCAGGCCTTGAGAGTCCCGAGGCCGCCTCAGCCACAGCCATGTACACCTTCCTGCCTGACAACATCTCATCCGTGAAGCCCAAAGCGTCCAAGGAGGTGAGGCCGCTGCTGGGCTCGGTGGTGCTGGGGCTGCTGCTGGTGCTGGCAGCGGTGGTGGCCTGGTGCTACTACAGCGCCTCCCTGCGCAAGGCCGAGCGTCTGCGCCTGGAGCAGCTGGACCTGAAACTCGGAGGCTTCTCCATCCGCAACCAGAAGGGAGAGCAGGTCTTCCGCATGGCCTTCCGCTCGGGGGCGCTGGACCTCGACTCCTGCAGCCGCGACGGCGCCCTGCTGGGCTGCTCCCGCAGGGCGGATGGGCGGCCGCTGCACTTCTTCATCCAGACGGTGCGGCCCAAGGACACCGTCATGTGCTACCGCGTGCGCTGGGAGGAGGCGGAGCCGGGGCTGGCCGTGGAGCACGCCATGTTCCTGGGAGACGACGGGGAGGCGCACTGGTACGGCGGCGCGGAGATGAGGACCCAGCACTGGCCCATCCGGCTGGAGGGCCAGCAGGAGCCGCAGCCCTTCGTCACCAGCGACGTGTACTCCTCCGACGCGGCATTCGGCGGCATCCTCGAGCGCTACTGGTTGTCGTCGCGCGCGGCGGCCATCAAGGTCAACGGCTCGGTGCCCTTCCACCTGGGCTGGAACGGCACGGAGCGCTCGCTGCGGCTGCAGGCCCGCTACCGCCGCACGCCCTACAAGCCGCCCGCCGGCCTGCCCGCGGCCCCCGAGCTCAGCTACCGCGTGTGCGTGGGCTCCGACATCACCTCCATCCACAAGTACATGGTGCGGCGCTACTTCAACAAGCCATCGAGGGTGCCGGCGCCCGAGACCTTCCGCGACCCCATCTGGTCCACGTGGGTGCTGTTCGGGCGCGAGGTGGACCAGGACAAAGTGCAGCGCTTCGCGCGGCAGATCCGGCAGCACGGCTTCAACAGCAGCCACCTGGAGATCGACGACACGTACACGCCCGCCTACGGCGACTTCCGCTTCGACGAGGCCAAGTTCCCCAACGCCAGCGACATGTTCCGCCGCCTGCGCGGCGCCGGCTTCCAGGTCACGCTGTGGGTGCACCCATTCGTCAACTACAACGCGTCGTCGTTCGGCGAGGGCGTGGAGCGGGAGCTGTTCGTGCGCGAGCCCTCGGGCCGGCTGCCGGCGCTGGTGCGCTGGTGGAACGGCATCGGCGCCGTGCTCGACTTCACGCGCCCGGAGGCGCGAGACTGGTTCCAGGGCCACCTGCGGCGCCTGCGCGCGCAATACGGCGTCGCCTCCTTCAAGTTCGACGCGGGCGAGGTGAGCTACCTCCCGCGAGACTTCAGCACCTACCGGCCGCTGCCGGACCCCAACCTGTGGAGCCGGCGCTACACGGAGATGGCGCTGCCCTTCTTCTCGCTGGCCGAGGTGCGCGTCGGCTACCAGTCCCAGAACATCTCGTGCTTCTTCCGCCTGGTGGACCGCGACTCGGTGTGGGGCTACGACCTGGGGCTGCGCTCGCTCATCCCCGCCGTGCTCACCGTCAGCATGCTGGGCTACCCGTTCATCCTGCCGGACATGGTGGGCGGCAACGTGGTGCCGGAGCGCACGGCGGGCGGCGGCCGGGTGCCGGAGCGCGAGCTGTACGTGCGCTGGCTGGAGGTGGCCGCCTTCATGCCCGCCATGCAGTTCTCGGTGCCCCCCTGGCAGTACGATGCTGAGGTGGTGGCCATCGCGCACAAGTTCACCGCCCTGAGGGCCTCGCTCGTGGCGCCGCTGCTGCTGGAGCTGGCCGGCGAGGTCACGGACACGGGCGACCCCATCGTGCGCCCCCTCTGGTGGATCGCGCCGGCCGACGAGACGGCGCACCGCATTGACTCGCAGTTCCTCATCGGGGACACGCTGCTGGTGGCGCCGGTCCTGGAGCCCGGCAAGCAGGAGCGCGACGTCTACCTGCCCGCGGGCAAGTGGCGCAGCTACAAGGGTGAGCTTTTCGACAAGACCCCGGTGCTGCTCACCGATTACCCCGTCGACCTGGATGAGATCGCTTACTTCATCTGGGTATCCTGAGCCAGCCCCAGAGCCCCGGGGACCCCACAGCTCTCACCGGTCTTTATGCAGGTTGTTTACCCTCCATCATAGCCACCCCGTGTATCATCCCCAGGAAAGTCCCCACCTCTGTGCCACCCACTCCCTGGGTGCTAATGTAAATATGCTCCACCCGCTCCTGCAGGGCCAGAGGAGGGGCACGGAAGCAACCTCCCACCCCTACGCACGGTCCTGACAACCCTCTTTCCTCCACTCACCCTTGTCTACAGAAACCTCTGCTCACCCTTGTCTACGGAAACCTTTCTCTGGGGTGGGGGTGTGTGAGCTCCGAGGGAAAAGGTCAGTTCCTGTTACACATGGTTGGATTTTAAAAGCACAAAAAAAAAACCTCACTTTCCACTCTGGCCTGAGTGGCCATCTTATCCCTCTGAAGTGGGGACTTGATCCTCTTTCAGGTCCCAAAATAGCCCCCCTGCCACACTGAGAAAGGAGTTGGAAGCCAGGTCCTGAGTTCTCAGCCCTGGCCTGAACTGTGACTGACCTGGTCCCACTCCAGCTGCTGAGAAGAGATGGGGTTGGTTGGCCAACTGGAAGACTTGATTCAGCACAACGCTATCTTTGTCCCTTATGTGTGAAGAGACTCCTAACGCTGCACTAACCGATCTGTGTGCACACATGCACCCAGCCTTGTGCACATATATGTGCTCAGCACAAAGACTTGCAAGACCACGAAGGCTAGACTTGGTGCCTTACCCCATGACCCTGTGTGCCTGTGTGTGTGTGCCTGTGTGTGTGTGCCTGTGTGTGTGTGCCTGTGTGTGTGCGTGTATGTGTGTATGTGTGTGTATACGTATGAGAGAGAGAGGCATCATGTGTCATCCCTGGATCTACAGAAGGAACAAACACAACATCGCTGAGACTAGGTAACCCCTGGAGGTAGGGGGCAGGGAGCAAATTTGAGGCTTTGAATGTTGAGTTGGCCTCTTCCCAGGCAATGTCCCTGAAACTCTGGTAGGAAATAAACAGCCCCTTCAAGATTGCTCAGCTGCCTCACTCCCTGCACAGGTGGCAGGGCCGTGGCCTAAAAGGAAGCCATAGTCCTCCTCTGCTGGCGGTGTGCTTCACTCAGCACATGTACACCTGCACATCTGCCTGCAAATACACATACAGGGTAAGGTCTTTCATTTCAGCCATTTTTCCGTCCTAAGAAGATCAATCTCAGCCAGAGCATTGTTTTTCTTTCTGACTTTTCAGCTAAGTCTGGAGAAGTAGCTTGCCAGAGCCCGGAGGATCTAACACCTGCCCTACATTCCGGGAGCCCTAGTAGCAAGGGAAAAGAGGGCTGAGACCCAACTCTTGCGCCTCTGGGTCTTACAGTTGAGTTGTGGAGAAAGGGAGTAGGCCGACTGGAAGACTTGATTCAGCCCGGAGGTGGGAAACAGGGCATGGCTCAGCCTCCTTCTACAGCTTGGACAGCAGAACCAGTCCCTCAGCCCCTAGAGAAGGCATCTCCTTGCCCAGCCCCCACCCCTCTATTTTCTCAATGTGAAGAATGCCTAATACAATTTTAAGGGAACTCACAGATGCCTATCTCCCATGCTGGCTCTACCACTCTTCAACAAGCTGTGTGACCTTGAGCAAGCTGCTTAACCTCTCTGAGCCTCAGTTTCCTCATATGTAAAATGGTGATAATAATGCCTAACTCCCAGGTTGTTGTTGTGGGAATTACAAGTACGGATGTATGTAAAGTGCCTGGCACAAGTAGGTGCTCAATAAAAGGTAGCTATTATAATACAATTTCTTGTTTTCTTGTTTATAAATGACAAGGATTTTTCCAGGTCCCACCTCCCAGCCCAACGGGTTTCCTCTGGGCCTGCAGGTGACATCCTCTTCCAAACCTCTGTACGTAGAATCCATTGAGGTGAGTCTGTATTCCAAAGGACACTGTCCAGGAGAAAGGCAAGTGAAGAGATATGGGAAAGTAGGATGCTGGGAGACATACCTCCAAGGTGGGAAGCCAGCTGAAGTGTGTGTGTGTGTGTGTGAAGCTGCCACCCAGTGGGCCTGATTCTAGGCCAAGAAGTGTTTTCCCTTCCCTCATTGAGACCATAAAAGAGGGATTCAAGAAGTTGAGGTGGGGGTTGGAGCTGGAATGGCAGAAACTGTGAGAACTGACTCTTGGGGACAGGTTGAGGGGAGGGAATTAGGCTGGAAGCAACTGCTACCCCTATTCCACAGGGTGCCAGGAACGCTGGCCCCTTCCGACCTTGTCCAACCCCCTCCCTGCCAGCACCTCCTGTGCATTCCAAATTTCTCTCTCTGGCTCTACACATCTGGGTTGGGATGGGGGCTGTCCCTCCTCCAATGGAGATTTCAGCAGCCTTTTAATGGCTAGAATTCTTCATTGGTCTCCCCTTCACCCTTGGGCTGATGGGGGACAGGGCTAGAATAATATAACAAAATGGGAACTCCCTTTTCCAGAGGTAACGGAGAGGAACTGAGTGCCACTGAAGGAAATCTAGGGCTGGGGCCTAATATCCTCATTCTGCTGCCTTATGTGCTATAAGAGTCTGACTCAGTGTCCCATCCAACACCACATGAATCAGCTGAACCCTGGCTAAGCCCTTTCTCTGAGACCAAAATGTGAGTTTTCTGGAAGGGTCTTTGCCCTTTTTCCTCCAGATTTGGGTAAAGTATCTCTCACTCTAGCTCAGAGCAAGTCTGCTTCTGCTAGTTCCCCCCAATGAGCTTTCTGGTCCTTTCTCCCCTCCTTAAGCCCAAGGTCAGTGTTGACCTCTCTATCCCCTGGTCACTACCCCACATCAGACCTTATCAATTCTAGTCTGGATCACTGCAGTGGCCTTGTAACTCTTTTTTAAAAAAATATATTTTATTGATTTTTTTACAGAGAGGAAGAGGGATAGAGAGCCAGAAACACTGATGAGAGAGAAACATGGACCAGCCGCCTCCTGCACACTCCCTACTGGGGATGTGCCCACAACCAAGGTACATGCCCTTGACCGGAATCGAACCTGAGACCTTTCAGTCTGCAGGCCGACTGAGCTCTTTCCACTGAGCCAAACCAGTTTTGGCTGCCTCATAACTCTTTCAGCTCTGTGACATTTCAACTCAATCCACATAGTATCCAAGGAACTCTTTTTGAAGTTTAATTATGTCACATCGGCATTAAATCAAGCTCTGGTGTTCAAGGCCTCTAAGATCTGAATCCTCCTCTCACCTCTGTTTCCATTTTACACACCCGCACCCACACACACACACACACATATTTTGAAAAGCATTTGAAGAAACACTACCTTCTGTTTTTGGAATAGCTCCATAGCACAACCTAGCAAGGGGCAGCCTGCCTACACCCAACCACAGCGGCAACTGGGCGATTTCCTTCCTTTCTTTTTTTTTTTTAATTTCCTTTCCTACCATTGTCTGACTCAGTAGGACTTCTGCTGACACCACACACACACACACACACACACCCGCCCCTCTCTGACACACCCCAGTTCCCAAGGAACAACCTGGTTTTTATCTTAAGGCTAGTTATTACTTCATGATACCCAACAATCTTCCCAGTAGCTTGAGCAGAGGGGAAAATTCTTTCTTTTTCTCAATGCACTTCACCATTTTAATAGGGGAAAACAGAGGCTGATAGCTCTTTTTTATTAATTGAGCTATAATTGACATAACATTGTATTAGTTGCAGGTATACAACATAAGATTCAATATTTGTGTATATTATATTACTACAATAAGTCCAATTAACATTTGACAAAAAAAAAAAAAAACTTTTTTCTTGTATTAAGAACATTTAATATCCACTCTCCTAGCTACTTTCAAATATGCAAGATGGTATTATTAACTATAGCCACCAGGCTGTGCATTACATCCCTAGGTCTTACTCATTTCATAACTGGAAGTTTGGCGGAAACCGGTTTGGCTCAGTGAATAGAGTGTCGGCCTGCAGACTGAAAGGTCCCGGGTTCGATTCCGGTCAAGGGTATGTACCTTGGTTGTGGGCACATCCCCGGAAAGTGCAAGAGGCAGCTGTTTGATGATTCTCCCTCATCGATGTTTCTAACTCTTCCTCTCTGTGAAATATCAATAAAATATATTTTAAAAAATAAATTGATAAATAATAAATAATAAATAACTGGAAGTTTGTCCCTTTTGACCCCCTTCACCCATTAGGGGAGGGGAGAATTCTTGGCCTTATGTGGCAAGCCCTGACTTTGGCTGGGGGTGAGGTTAGGGGAGGAATGGGAAGGAAGAGGGGGAGACCCTATCCCTGTAGTTCCTGGTCTTAAGAACAGGAAGAGGTTGTGTCTCTGTGTTTTGTATCCTTGTGCTGTTTTCCCCTCCCTAGCCCCCTTTCCCCTCCTCAGAGAGCCCAGCTGGGAATTTCCTATTACGTAATTCTGAGAGGAGGTGGGATGGGAGGGGAAGGGAAGCAAAGGGGGGGGCCAAGTTGGGAGGAAGGGAGAGAGCAGGTCTCTGTGGGCACCCATAGCACAGTGTGAAGGCAGCAGCAGCCTGGCTGGAGTGGCCTCCTCTACAAAAGAAGGCGGGTTGGGCCGAAACCGGTTTGGCTCAGTGGATAGAGCGTTGGTCTGCGGACTGAAAGGTCCCAGGTTCGATTCCCGTCAAGGGCATGTACATTGATTGCGGGCACATCCCCAGTAGGGGGTGTGCAAGAGGCAGCTGGTCGATGTTTCTCTCTCTCATCGATGTTTCTAGCTCTCTATCCCTCTCTCCTCTTCTCTGTAAAAAATCAATAAAATATATTAAAAAAAAAAAAAAAGAAGGCGGGTTGGGCCCCACGCTGGGCCCGTGGAGAAGTCAGCTTCTGCTGTCCAAACGTTTGGAAAGGCAGTAAACAAGTGCCTTCTGTGGGGTGTGAGGTGTGGCTTTTGGGAAGCAAGAAGGAACTTTGGCCAAAGCCGGTTTTGCTCAGTGGATAGAGCCTCGGCCTGCAGACTCAAGGGTCCTAGGTTCGATTCCGGTCAAGGGCATGTACTTGGTTGCGGCCACATGCCCAGTGGGGAGTGGGGGTGCAGGAGGCAGCTGATCAATGATTCTAACTCTCTATCCCTCTCCCTTCCTCTCTGTAAAAAAAATCAATAAAATATAAAAAAAGAAAAAAGAAGGCACTTTGGTTTTCCAGAGCCTCTGTTAAATCCCTCCGTTAGAGGGGAAGCTTAAGACCACCCTAATGGGGATGAGTCTATTAGATGCTTCTACACCCCGGGGTGGTGGAAGTGGCTTTGGGAACAACCGTTGGAGTTCCAAGGGGAGCCTCTTTGGGTGCAGATGGGGAAACTAGGACGGTGTTTATAGGATTGGTGGTTATTAGGAAAAACTTCCAGAAGGAGATGAATGCTCTGGAGCTTGAAGGGCCTCCGATTAAAGGGGAAATTGTGACCTCAGACTCACAGCTCTTGAACAAGCCCAGCTGGTGAGAAGCAAAGTGGTGCTGACAACAAAGCCTGCTCCCTTACCACATCCCAGTCTCAGATCCACTCTCTCCCTCCCTTATCCACCTCCCACAACCTGCCTAGTCCCATGCTGTTAATTCTTCCTGCAAAGTGAGCAAATGAATACAATTCAAGCCCTCCCTTTCTCCAAAGAAGCTGTGTGTTGTTTTGTTTTTGTTAATCTTCACCGGAGGATATTTTTTTCCATTGATCTTTTTAGAGAGAATGGAAGGGAGGGAGGAGAGAGAGAGAGTGTGGTGAGAGAGACACACAAATGGTTGCCTCACACACACACCCTGACCCGGTTGGGGAACAAGACTGCAGCCAAGGTACGTGCCCTTGATTGGGAATGAAACCTGTGACCCTTTGGTTCATGGGCTCACATTGTAACCATTGAACCACACCGGCCAGGGCCACAGTACATGTTTTAATGGACAACTCTGTGAGGCACAGAGGAATGACCCCAAAGCTATACAAGAGTTGAAACCGGTTTGGCTCAGTAGTTAGAGCGTCGACCTGCGGACTGAAAGGTCCCAGGTTCGATTCGGTCAAGGGCATGTACCTTGGTTGCAGGCACATCCCCAGTAGGGGATGTGCAAGAGGCAATTGATCGATGATTCTCTCTCATCGATGTTTCTAACTCTCTATCCCTCTCTCTTTCTCTGTAAAAATCAATAAAATATATTTTAAAAAAAAAAAAGCTATACAAGATATTCTAAAGCAGTTTTTCCTCTGGCACCCCATCCTCAAAGCATACCTTCTTAAGCCTCAGTTTTCCCAACTATAAAAACAAGCAGCAAAATAAGGTCATTTTCCAGATGCCTTCCCACTCGGACACATGAGGTCTTAGCATCTTGAAATTCTACAGCCTCCCATGCTGAGAGCACAGGGCCGGCCAGCCCTTGTTAGGAGGCAGCGAGTCTGTGGTTTGGCACCACTGCCCAGCAAGGCATTTATTAAATCAATGGGATGTGGTCCCTGCTGGCCAAGAAAGAGAACATTAAGCTCCAAAAACTTCCTGCAGCAGGCCTCCTTCAGAGTGCTGCTCAGAGGGGTGAGGAACAAAACCATTCAGGTCCCTGGCGGTGCTCCAAGATCCTGTTCACTAATACTTCTGCCCTGTCTGCACGGAGAACTGGGGACTGAGAACATCTGGAAGCCGCTTACGACCTGGGTGACTTCTCTTTCCTTCCTCTGGAGGTGATAGTTCTTGACCCTGGTAATCTGGGTTGACCTTTGCCAATGACCCTTCCCACCCAATCTTCTGAACTTTGTTGGGCAACAACCCTCTAATAAAATCCACATGAACTCAGCTGCTAACAGCTTCTGGAAGGGCTAGAGGATCTAACACCTGCCCTACATTCCTGGAGCCCTAGTAGCAAGGGAAAAGAGGGCTGAGACCCAACTCTTGCGCCTCTGGGTCTTAAAGTTGAGTTGTGCAGAAAGGGAGTAGGAGGGAAGAGAGAAAAACCAATGGTGAGGGGTTGCTAAAGGTGGGAAGGCAGCTGCAGGCGAGGAGTGCACATGTGTAGTGACAGGGCTGTTGGGTAGCACAGCAGAGTCCCTCTGACCTGCTACTTGCCAGTGACCTCAGTCATGCTGACAAGGCCCATGCTGACTCTGGGAGGCAGGACTGGGCCAACAGGTTGGAGTGCATGTGTCACCGATGTGGTGGCCCAGAGTTGACTATACCTCTTCTCCCTGCTGTGATCTGGATTACGTCCCCAAGTTCCTTGGATCTCTAATTATTTTAGAAAAACTTTACTGAGCACCTACAACATATGTGACTGGTGCTGGGTGAGATACATTAGTGAGCCAAACAGACCCCGTTCTTGTGCTCTAGTTCCACTCACTTGCATATCCCATCCGACTACAGGCAGAAAAGTCTCAGGGGAGGTGGGGTGAGAGTGCTTGGAGTTCCGGAGGCAGGAGAGCCCCACTCCCTTAGCTTCTCTGGGGTACAATGCATGGATACAGGATTCCTTCTGGCTAGGGCCAGAGTTCCAATTCACTTTAGTGTTTCTCCCACCAAGAGCAAGAGCCCAAGAAATAAATATAACAGCTTGAAGGACAGATAGACAAGGTTTATTTTGTACAAGGATGCACTTTAAAAAAAAATACCTCTTCCTTCACCTTCCTTTCCACCCAGCTAAGATTTTTGCCTGCTCGCCTCTGAGTGATATAATAATGTGTCTGTTCTCTGCTATGATGAGCCAAAGACCAGCACAACCTTCCCTGGAGCTGAAGGTGAGTTCATCTCAGAAAGGCCCTCAAGGATCCTCCTGAGGCAAATGACTGTGTTTCAGCTCAGGCCACTGTGGAGCAGAGAAACTGGTGTCCCTCGTGGAGTAATGCCTCCATATCCTTGAATTGAGCCAACTGGCAGGCCTCCTCCAGCCCCAGCCAACGGTAAGCTTGGTGCTCATGGGAGAGGCGGATCTCTACGTCATAGTCCTTCACCTCTGCCAGCCAGTAGATGACTGTTTTAGGCTGCTTCCTGGCCACATAATTGAGCTCCCTTCTGAACCCCTCAATGATGGTCAGCTGGCTTGCTTTTAGGCCTGCTTCCTCTTGAGTCTCCCGCAGGGCTGTTTCCAATTCATTTTCCCCGGGTTCCACATGGCCTGGTTAGGAGAAAACAGAAAGAGGAGGGGGAGATAATCTTCCACAAAGCTGGATTTTCCAGGTTAGGTGATTTAAAGATGGGATCTTTGGTGACTTTTCTAGCTGTTGCTAGGCTGAAGGAAGTCTAGAGATTGGTAATATCTGAACATGCCTAGGAACGGGGTGCAGGGCAGGTAGTGTTTGGCTCTGCAGTGTCCGGGAAACCCCTCTTCCTCACCCCATCTTCTCTACAGAGAGTGAAACAGACCATGTGCTTGGCAAGTTTGGTCTAGAATACTGCTCCTTTGATGGTGAGAGAGATGGCCTACCTCAGACATCTGCTTTCTTATTCTTTGGAGCTTTCCTCATCCCATATTCTTAGGGAGACCTTTCCCTTGGAGACCTTAAAGTGATTTTCCCAAGGAGGGGCAGTCCCTTCTTGGCAGGTGGGAGTGAGCTGAGAGTGAGCACTTTGCCTAAAATCCACAGTGAGGAGTTAACATTGTCTGCAGTTGGTCTCTAAAGTCCCAGGGCCAACAGCAGGCTCAAAACCACGCACTGCAGCATCAGCAGCTGTTTCCAAGTAGCTATCAAGGCTTTCCAAATTGTTTTCATCTTTCTAACTGAGCAAGACCAGATTCCAGTTTCACAGGGAAAGTCCTGATGGGAACTCAGACTAAGGACAAGCCGAGAAACAGTTCTAAGAAAATTTGTTGGCAAGACCTAAACCCCAGCAGACAGCTGCCAAGAAACTGTTGTAGGAGAACTTGAAGCTCTGCAGACTGGGAGCAGCCCTCAGCCCTGCCGCTAGGCCCTTCCTGCAAATTCTCAGTTTGCCCAGAAGAGCCAAGAAGGACTGGGAAGAGTCTGGCAGCCTCTGTCAACACATGGCTCCAGCAGTTGCTGGGGGCCTCCTGGTTTGGGAGCTCACGGGGAGCAGGAATTGTTAGCTGTACCCTTCTTGGTTCGGAGACAGGGCTATAGTCTGGCCTTCCTCGTTCCTGGGGTCCTCACAGCACTGTCCTGACTCAGCTGCCGCTGCACAGCTCCGACAGAAAGCAGCCGGCAGTTTGGACTTAAAGACCATTTGAGCTCATGGCTTCTGGAGAATGTTCTCTGTATGGCACCTCCTATGGCGTCATGCTCACAAAGACAGGTAGGTAATGCATCAAGGACGAAGGTGAGAGGGGTGCTGGAGGTGGCAGAAGTGACTCATCCAGGATGTCTACCTTCCCTCACAAGTGTGTGGGAGTCTCTAAGCACACCGTCCCAACATCAGCATTCTGCCCACCAACATTAACAGGGTGACTTCTCCCCCAGGCCCAAGCCTCTCAAAATTGGGAGGGGCCCTTTGAAATCTTTCAGTGTGACACAGGAGATCAGGAGACAAATGTGACTATTCCTATACAGAGTATTCGTAACATTTCTTTTCCTTTTTGTCATCTCATCTTTCCTTAGTGAAACTTAAATGTGCAAATTTTATTTATTGTTCCCATTTCCTTGTTTTCCTCCAACCCTGGGTTATTTTTCACCTCCCCCTCCCCTACCCAACTCTCCCATCCTGCTCCCTTCCCCGAGCTGTTCACTCTGAGCACCTGATCTGTAGCCACAAGGACCTCAATGCCCAGCCTTTCCTCCTTCCTAGCCATTCATCAGAGTCCTGGCGCTCTGGTGAATGATACTCACAAAAACCAGGTGCTGCTTCTGTCCTGGGGTTCAGTCACAGAGTTTTGTTTCGTTTTGCTCTAGCCTAGTATGGAGCCATTGTTTGTAGAAAGGATCAGGCCTCCTACATACCTCACATCCTCCTGCTGCACAGTTACTGGGAAGCAAGAAGTGTGTGGAGCCTAGCAAGGTGGATTTCTGGGTAACACTTGGCATTTCCCCACGAGCTAGCCCCTCTGGGTACTTGTACCTTTAGGAGGAGTCCAGTGATGAATGCCATCTGATGCCTGCAGCAGTAGAAACTCAATTGAGGTGTTGTCTACCTTGGGAATGAGGCGTCTTCGGAAGATGATCAAGCCACATGCTCTCAGGGCCATGGTCTGTTTGAGAAGAAGGGGACATGGGAAGTTACACAAAGCCGGAAGATCCATTCTGGGGGAGCAGCACTCTAGTGCTGGGGAGTAGCACAGACCAGCTAACAGTGGCCTCATCACCTACAGAAAAAGGCAGAATGCCAAGAGCCAATGGGGGAAAACCAGGAATCAGAGATAGGCCTTTGTGCTGAACTGCAGGACGCTGGCCCTACCCTGCCAGTGTGGCTCTATCCCAACTCCTCCAAGCCTCTCTGCTAAAACACAGGGCTGGTGTGTGTTTAGAAACTACAGATCCCCGGAAGCAAACCCACTGAGACTGGAGAGATGCTGGGAATGGGAGAGATGCAGTACAACATTATCATCAAACCCACAATCCCATTCTCCTCAGCCTCCGGCCTGAGTCTCTGGAGCAAAGAGATCCCAACAACGTGTTATCTGATGGCTTAACGGGGGTCACTTAGGAAAGGTAGCTTGGTGTACACTTTTTTTTTGTCATGGATTTTTTAGTCTTTTATCCATGTTTTGGAATGTTATACACTCACATGGTTCAAAATTTAAAGGGCACACACAGTAAAAAGTCTCTTTCCCACCTCATCAGAGGTAAAACTAGCACGGTGGTCAAGAGTGAACCTAGAGCCTGGGTTCATGTTCTGGCTCTGCTACTTATTCACTGTGCAGTTCCCTCCTAAGCCTCAGTTTCCCCGTCTGGAAGCCAGGATGATAATAGTTCTACCTCAAGTGTTGCTGTGAGGACTGCGTGACTGAACTTTTGTAAAGTGCTTTAGAACAGAGCCTGGTATGTACATGAGTTTGAATATGCACAGAAAAATGTCCGGAAAGACACATCATTAACAGTGTTTTCTGGAGGGTGAGATTATGAGGAGACTTTCATTTTCTACTCCACATATTTCTGTATTGTTTGGAAATTTACAGAGAACATTTACTAATTTTATAATAAGCAATACAATAAAAACTGAACTTTTTAGTCTTTTTCCATTTCATGTAGTCTTTTTTTCTATTTCAGAAAAATATGTCAACAACAACAAAAGACAGGAAGGGAGAACAGTAGAAATATCTGCAGAACTGGAAAAAAAAAATCACCATCTGAAGGTGAACATGTAATCAAGGTAACAAAAATTTTTGAAAGATGTTTTATGTAAGGCCCTGTTAAGAAAAATCTGTGTCATTTGTTCATTCAACAAATATTTATAGAGTACCTACTATGTAGTAAGTACTATTCTAGGCCTTTGCCCTCATGTAGTTTATATTCTAATGGAAGAGGTGGGCTTTAATTAAATAATTAAGCAAATTAAAAAATAATTGCCAATAAAGTATTTCCTACAAAAGAAAAATGTATAATGGGCAACCTGACCTTGTCTAAGGCAGGGTCAGCAAACTGCGGCTCGAGAGCCACATGTGGCTCTTTGGCCCCTTGAGTGTGGCTCTTCCACAAAATACCACAGCCTGGGTGAGTCTATTCTGAAGAAGTGGTGTTAGAAGAAGTTTAAGTTTAAAAAACTTGGCTCTCAAAAGCAATTTCAATTGTACTGTTGGTATTGAGCTCTGTTGACTAATGAGTTTGACGACCACTGGTCTAAGGGATCAAGGAAGGATTCTTGGAAGAAGAGATGTGTGAGCAGAGAAGTAAATGATGAGTAAAAGAAGAGCTGGCAAAGGGAAGGAGGAGAGAGGCGTGCTCCAGGGAAGGAACAGCATAGACAACGGTCCTGAGGTGGATGCAGAACTGAAAGGAAACCAGGTGTCTCACATGCAGTGAAGGCCTGGGAGAGTGTCCCGGGCAGGATGCGCCCTGAGTCAGCAGGGCCTCATCTGCATGATTCCAGGGCCAGAGGAAGAGCTGGAGCTCACAGACAGCACAGCTAACTGCAGAGAGGGCAGCTGGGGTAGGAGCTGATGGTCTCTATAGCCCCTTTGTTGGTGCTTAATCAAGATGAGCTTGCATCTATCACAGGCATAAAAATCAGATCCAAACTAAAACCTGTTTCAGGGCAGTTCTTAGGACTGCCAACAGATGGTAATGTTACTCTAGGGAACAGCAGTTCCTTACCAGAAAGCCAAACACACCCAGCACTGCGACCTTTCCAAACCTGGAATGGGCGTTTTAAGGGCTGGAACCAATCTCAAAAGGGCTTTCTAAAATGGCCTCTGCTATAACACACTGTTGGTGAGAGAGTAAATTAGCATATCCTCATAGGAGGGCAATTTACTTATGAATATCAAGACATAGCATATTCCCTTAGACTCAGAAGTCCCATTTCTAGGCATCTGACATCCAGAAATATATGTTTCAGATGCACACACAAGGATGTTCATTACAACTTTGTTTGTAATATCAAAAAGGAAAAAAGGAAAAAACAAATATCTACCAATAAAGGAATAATGAAATAAAGTACAATACATCTCCATGATAGAAAGTTATGAGTATGCTCTCTCTTCTCCAAAGCACACCCCTGCCTCTCCTTCCTCTTTCATCCCTCAGGGTGTGTGTCTCTCTCTCCCTCTTTCTCCTAAGATCAGAGGGCCCTTCTATTACCTTTGTCACCTTCTAAATAAACTTTCCTTTATAGTTTGGAAGAAAATTATGAAGCCATAAAAAAATGAGGTAGAGCCAATGTGCTGCTTGTAAAAATATTTTCAGACATACTAAAATATATATGTTTTAGAATATATGTATAATGTGATCCTTTTTGAGTTTAAAAATTCATTTAAACTGAAAGCGGGTTTTATTAAACATTGTGTTCTATTTCCCTGGTCTCCTCATTTATGCAGAGAACTTTCCCCATTTTGGAAGCCAGAAATAAAGGTTTCAAATTACTGGTTCCAGTTATAGGCAGAGACAGGTGTCTGATCCCATCCCCTGTCCCCTCTCACCCAGGCCCCATCAAGATGCTCAGAAAGTATTAGCAAGTTATAAGTGTAAGGCACCTTTTGCCTGCCTTGGGTGGATTCCTGTGGAATAAATGTTAGAATCCCTAGATAAACTCTGCAATCCAAGACTACAGGCACAGTACCCTCCCTGCCTGGGACAGGAAGCCCCAGAGCATTCCTTCACACCACTGCCATCCCAACACAGCCTCAGGAAACAAAGATGGAGGAGCCAAGAAAGACAGGCCTGGAGTGGCCTCGTGGAGCCAACAAGGAGAGGGGAATAGGCCAATGTTTTCCTATGGGGAGGGGACTTAGAGGAGTATCAAGGGTGCACCCTAGCAAAAATGCATCTCAGTAGATACCATTGCACAGGAGTGATAACATCTACCAACAGTTCATCTCTAATGAGGCCAGAAGAGCTAAGATCAAGAGCTAGGATTAGATGTCCTCTTTCTAACTATGCTCTCGACTCATGGAGGAGGTCTGAGACAGTTCTAGAAAGGCAGAACTACTATTTTTCCTTTCAGTTGCTTGGCTTGAGCCAGCTTTTCTCTGGAATTTCTCCCTCCTTCTCCATACATGTAATCTTCTGCTCGTTCTTTCAGAAGCAGCTCAGATGTCACCCATTTTCTGGGCCTTTTGCATAGCTTGAATAAATTTCTACTATAAGGTTTGATTAGAGAAGCCAAACACTATGAGCAACAGAAAATTAAGGATTTAGTATAGGAATTAGACCTTGTTCGAGGATGGAAGTTGGGGGAAAATCCATGCAGTGCTGCTGCATCTGCATCTGCTGTTGGGCCTGAAGTCTCCATAGGCCAGCAGGCCAGCAGCTGGGAAGGGAAGTTGGCTGTGGAGGAGAGTGAGGAAAATCGGAACTAAAAGGACAAGTGGAACTCCTGAGGACAAACTGAAACTTGCAACTTCCTTTCCCCATCTCAAGCTCACTGACGCAGGTGACTTGAAGAAGCTGGAGCTCTTTGCCACAGAGCTGAGTGTACACCTGGCCCAGGACTCAGAGTAGCTGAAGGAAGAGATTCAGTGGAGTGGTGGAGCTGCAGGCCTCGGTGGGTGGCTGTGCATAAACAGCATGCACGTCAGTGTCAATGGTTATGCACGGCCACCATGCCTGATACCCTGCTCTGCCCCCTTCACAGTGTACTGGGAATTGCTTCACTTCACTTTACAAACTCGAATAAAATTTTCTTGAGGTCCCCGAAACCGGTTTGGCTCAATGGATAGAGCGTCGGCTTGGGGACTGAAAGGTCCCGAGTTCGATTCCGGTCAAGGGCATGTACCTTGGTTGTGGGCATATCCCCAGTGGGGGGTGTGCAAGAGGCAGCTGATCGATGACTCTCTCATCGATGTTTCTAACTCTGTCTCTCTTCCTTCCTCTCTGTACAAAAATCAATAAAATATATTAAAATTTTTTTTTCTTGAGGTCAATCCTAACTGGAACCATACAGAAAGGGAATCCTGGGAAACCTCGTTCCAGCTTAGCTAAGGACACAGTACAAAGCCGCAGGCATGCATTCCTAGTAGGGTAAACCTCTAGTTCTAGCAGGGAACAGCAACATTGTGAACTCTGTTTCCCTGGGACTTAGTAGAGCAGCCCTCAACAGATGTTCATTGATTCACCAGAACTCTCTCTCCCACACCTCACTCAAACAAATGCTCAGGATATGTTCTGGGAATTTGGGAAATAGCCCAGTGTTTTTCTAAAGAGTGCCATTTACATAAAAGTCAATGGAGGTATTGTTGGAGGTTTTTTGGAGTCCACTGAACTGAAACTGTCCTGGGGTTTGAAAGCATCTCTCTGTCTCTCTCTGATACGCACACACTCCAAATGATTTCAAATCTCAGGAGGTTAAAGAACACAGCATCCAATATGCAAATACGCCTGCAGCCATCACTGAGGTGAGAACGCCAGGCCAGAACAACAGCAGGCAATTCACACTTAAGAAAAGTGGCAAAATGCCTTACGTGGTTAAAATAACCTGAACAAAACCAAAAGCACCCCTCGATGTCACTAGAAGGTTTCCGGAGCTAAGGAAAAGTGCCTTGGCTTTCTCTATATATACCACTCCTTCACACCTAGGAGGTTCAGGATTTAGGTG